TTCAGTGAATCCGGCCTCCCTGGTGGTATGCAGCAGATTTCGATCAAATATATCATGGGCATATCCCGTCATCAAGTTAAGAGATGGGGCGTTGAAGTCTCCAGCTATGAAAATTTGATCATAACCCATGTCTTGTGTCGCTGAAATTGCATTCAGCAGTACCTGGTTGTGGTCTGCTCCACATGAAGGTGATCTATAAATGCTGCCCACTAGATACTTACAGTACCCAACGGTGAAATGGCACCATATGGAGTCAGGGAGCTCAATGAGGGGAGGGTCCATTGCATGGACACATCTGAGCTGTTTGTCGACGTATATGGCGACTCCACTTCCTTCTTTCAGATCCCTATCTCGCCTGACTAGGACCATATCATTTATACTGGCTTCGCTGTCTGCCACCGTAGGGGTTAGCCAGGCTTCCGTCAGTATTAGGATTTTGGAGTTCAGCTGTGATTGTAGGTATCTAAGTTCAGCTATTTTGCCTCTTAGCCATCTCACATTACTGTACAGGCAACTGGTAGTCAGTCTCACCACGTCCCCGTATTGGGGGATGGTTGACGTGATGTGGGCTGTCGGTTGAGGAGTTATCCTACGAACTAGTTGGCCGATTCCCCGGGAACCGGCCTGTTGGCGTTTTTTTCTTCTGATTGAATCGGAGCACTTGGATGACACTGGCTATCATCGTCCATGCTGCAACGCTGTAGTGTGACTAGGGGTTGGGGATGTTCTATGACAACGTTTTGTTCTCTCCTTTGGGTACGAGGCGGGCTCTCGCAGCAGCGAATGTGCCTGCTGACCTTGTCCTTGGTCTCGTACCATCTCTGGAGAGCAGTAGTCAAGTGATCTCGGGAGCTGAACTTAACAGCTAACAGACGTGGCGTGTTAATTGACATTAGGTGAGTAGATCGAGGCAGTCTCGAAATAAAGACAGCCCCTGAGCTTCCCAGAGCCATCTGGGATGACAACCATCTCCATTGTTGTACATCGTGACAGTGCTTCTCACAAGCGTTCCCAGTTACCAGTTCGGGAATGCCATGAACAACCATGGAGGCAGAAGGAATAAGCTCTGGCGACTCCTTCGCCATCTGTCTTTCCTTCCATGGCCTGTCTGGCCTAACACGTATATTGCAGGTCCTCCCTATAGAAAGGACTTGGGAAGTCAGTAAAACATTTTCGGCATCCTCGGTAGAACCCAGTGTTACCCTCAGTGGGGATGGTTTGCCTTGAGGAGCAGCGGTGCCCCTATACAATCTGCATAGTTTTACTGGTTGGATGTCCAGACCCAGTGTGCTACATAAGTTGGACCACTGTTCCTGATCAAACAGGGCCCTGTTTTCCAGCAGACTACTGCTACAGTCTGGTACATTAAAGAGGATAACGCAGTTTGATCGACTAACCGTGGATTTAGGTTCGGTCCTCGCACATTTGTCATCCCCCTTAGGACCGTTTTGTTTCGTCTGGTGCAACTGGGTATTATTGTGTGTCGCAGTGCTGTGGCCACTTTTGCTGGTGGACGGTAAGGGTCTTTTCCTAGCGACAGATACCCTTGGTGCTTCAACCTCTGTGTCTGGGGCAGTTATGGCAGGAATTGCAAGTATAACCGGTGTGGATTTTGGTATCCCAGATTTACATGCAATTGTGCTGTTTTCTGAGTTGGTGGGAGTAAAACGTTTCACGTTTTTTCCTGATACCTCTATGCCACCTTTAGCTTTCGAGGAACTACACGAGGCTGCATCAGGATGGCAACTTGGGCATATGTACCAGAACCATGGGCATGGGTTCTTACGCATAAAATCGTAATATACCTTTGATACCCCGGTGTCACATCTACAATGTACCCAATGCTTGCAAAAGTTGCATTCGAAAGCAGAGTCTAGTTGTTCGACAACAGAATTGCAGACCTTGCAATCGTCTGCCTTCTTGAGGAACGTTTTCGTCGTCTTGCGACGTCGTGAACGTTTCTTACTGGCCTTCCTGTTTGTTTCAAGGCCTACTGTGGATATGGGTGTTATACTATTCTCACTTTGTGCAGATTTACCGCTCGGCTCTATTAACCTAGTCGTGTTAACAGGGATGGGGTGCCACATCCGCTTAGTTGACTTTTCACAGTTTCACTGTAGGACTGCGGCGACATGGGCAACCTGTTCACGCAGGGAATATTTACCCTGGTCTTCAAGACCAGTATGCGAGATTCCATCACCTTCACCTGTTTGCCTAATTTGGCTGAAGCCCTGGTGACTACGGTGTATGGTCTCCCATTACTTATCTTAGGGTGATAATCTATTGTCATATTACTCCTAAATTAATACAGATGACTAAATAATAGGAGACAGTGGAGTTTTGTCCAATAGACTGACAGCAAAAGACAGTAGAAAGCACAGAACAGAAAGTATATAAGTAAAAGCTTTTGACTTTACCTGTAACTTTCGGGTTATTCGGCTTCACAACAATCACGTAACAGACCAACAAGTCCTGTATATTTGAAAGAGTGAGGGGGATGTTGCTACAGAAGTAGCACCTGAAGCTTAGGCAGTAGTTCGAGACAGCTAGAAGTATCACACACAGGCTCGGTGAAGAAGAAATGGTTGAACAAAATTCGCCGGATAAGAAGATCAGGTTTCCCAAACAAATTATTCACAAAAGTGGATATTTCCTGTTAGAGAGGAAAATGCACGTCGTATTCAAGGAGCGCGCCTGTTTGTTACGTTTTCTTAATGTTTTTCTGTATGTTAGTCTGAACAACTTCATCATGCATTTATTCCCCTTGATGAAATTGAATAAACCAAGGACAACAGTGGTTTGTGCAGAAAAATATGGTACCATCATTTATTTCGTAGGCTTCTCGTCAGCTGCTTACAGCCTAAATAATTTATGAGGTTTGCGTACGGAAAAGTTCTAACATACTTGCAAATTTTACATGTTGTCAGTTGACAAAAAGTTCCACAGTAAGTGAACAGTGCTCGGAAAATTGCGCTTATATAGTTTTTACACGGGCAGTTCAAGTTTAATCAAAGTATATGTATGCATACAATGGTAAAAGAGTTACGTAATTAAGACGAATTATGCGTTAGATACAGAGTGACAAATAAATTAGGTAACAATGCACTGAGTTCAACTCAAATCATAGAAACAAGAGACAAGCAAAATTACAGATTATAGAAAGGGTTGAGGTTAAAGACAAAGATTATGTAATCAGATGAGAGAATAAAGACATTCAGTTACCAGGGCAAGGAATAACTTCACTAATTACATCTATTATTATATCTCTTTTATTTTGATGACGATATCGGAGGACTAACTGGTGAAAGGATCAACTCCATTCACAGTAGTAACACATCTCATACTACAAACCACATATAATTAATTCCTGCACTACTGCTTTTTGGAGTCAACCAAAGTTACGCAGTTGAGTGGCGGGACGAGCTACGCAGATTTACCGAAGATCATGAACCTATACCTCACAATCAAGAGGCGAGCACAAAGAAATCAAACTGGTTTATACTAACTCGTAAAAACGATATTGGATATTGGATACACAGCACTGAAATAAAATCTATGAATGACATTAAGGTGTAATAGGAAAGAAATATTGCTTGAGACATCGAATTTAAGCAATCTTAATTTCGAAGACTTATATCTGACCTAAGTGTAAAGTAGTTCCTGTATCTACGGTTTTGTTTTTACGTAGCATTGAGTGAGTTCCCCAGTGAGGGCTATTTAAGTCATGTTCCTTATTGTTGTTTATGTTGACAGGGTGTTTGAGTTCGATGTTAGCGATCAGTGGGATGTACTTTTTCTTAAACAGAGAGTCTGCCAAGATTTAGAAATTGATCCAGATATACACTACCTGTCATTCGAAACATCGTTTGGTCAGGAAGTTATGAAAGAAGAGGCAAAATTAGTAGACTTTGGATTGATGCCTAATTGTCGTCTGCATGTTAACAAGAGACAGTCCAAAGGACAAAAATTTATATTTTGTTATGAATGTGAGGATGTCCACCCCTCTTTAGTTACTGTTGGTTCTCCGTCTGATCCCAACATATATAACAGTGGAGACTGTTCTTCCACCGAGACATTACCAGAATTTTCATGTCCAGTTTCTGCCAAACACAAGCCAGTAGTTTATCTCAAACATGTTAAACGAAACAGCAACAGGACAGAGTGTGCAGCATGTTCATCACCAGAAGTCGAACTATTATTTAGCTTTTGTGATAGTGAGGATCATTCACTTTGCACGGAATGTTTCAGAAAGTACGCAAAAGAGTATTTTGATGCTGGGATGTTCCAGTTTGTTGAAAATATTGGATATACCATTGGTTGTCCAGCTGGGTGTCCTGCTTCATTTGTAACCGACCCTCATCACTTTCGTCTTCTTGGTCCTGAGTTTTATTCCCATTACAAAGAGCAGTCGGTTAAAAGGTACTTACTGTTAAAAGGAGGAACTTTTTGCCCTTCTTGTGGTTTAGACTGGCAAGCTACAAACTCGGACGTGACACTCCGCTGCGATTGGCACTTGTGTGTCCCGCCTATGGGTTGTGCATCACTTTTTTGCTCTTCATGTGGTTGGCATTGCAAATTCATGAGTTCCAGTCCCCAAAATGTTCCTGTAAAGTGTCTTTGTGAAGAGAGGTCTCGTCATCTCACGCAGTCTTCTTCTTCCGCTTGTAACTCTGTATGGAAGTCGCTAAAATTAACAACTGATGATACAGAAAGTCGCAAATGCATAAATGAAACGTGTCACCCTTGTCCACGCTGCAAGTCTCTGACTCAGAAGTTTGGTGGATGCAACCATATTCACTGTTCGTTGTGTGGGTTAGACTGGTGCTGGGTTTGTTGTGATATTTGGACCGGTCACTGCATTTCTTCTCATTGGTTGTAATCTAATATGTGCCTGTATTTTCCTTATTTTTTTATTCTAAATAAAAATGTCACTGAGCACGGCTTGCATTTATTGAATTAACCCTGCCTTTTTGACTCTAAGCTTTTTATTTGCAGAGCGAATGTCTGCTGGAGCTATCCGGGCTCCACTGGTTATCCCCTTGCGAAGTCCAGATTCTGGATTATATAAATCTCGTTTGGATACAGGCACTTATCTGGAAATTACATGTGATACCCCAGATGTAGCCATTTATTTTACAATTAATGGGAGTAAACCAACGGTTTCAAAATGTCGAAAGGAGCTTCTGAATACCGGAACTTATAAGTTTGTGAAACCGTTTACTTTACCACCCGGAAGTCACATTTTAAGAGCAGTAGCAGTTTCACTGTAAGTTTAGATTTTAGCATTTTGTAAGAATGGTGACTGGAAAATTGGATAAGTCCTTGAGAGCTGTTTTACCACTTAGCTTCTAAGTAATCTAGGCATCTTCTGCATATCCAAGTTATAGTCCATTCTGGCCTACTATTAAGGTGTTGATAGAAGCTAGATTCGTATACTAACCAATAAAAACTGGACACCCGTAAGCTCCTTGGAAGATGTCTTTATTAAGTTTATTAGGCACATTTTTACTTTGTTGTGTATCGGTAGTTAGATTGTAGTTTCACTAAATCCATGTGGATTAGAACTTAATTTAAATTAGCTTTCGTCTTTAAATAATAATAGTTTTGTTGAAAGCATATTTAGTATTACTCGTGTTGGTACTCGAGTATTATTGCTGTTTTACGTCGTCGAACTTCAAAGCTGCAACTATTATCGATGAGTACTCTCAGAATCATCACTATTTTTTCAGCACGTAGTTATTTTGAATACTTCAATTATAAGATTTTTATAAGCATAGGATAATCTACTTTTCCTCAATCTTATGGTTATTTATGCATATTTACTTCTAGATGACTGTGAATCAAGTGCGGCCTATGTTCTTTAGCACTTGAATTCGAGACAGTGGGTTCGAATTATGCTATACCTACGTCAGCCTAGGCAATCGGGTTTCATTAGCCTTCACTCAGTAAATATTGTTCATATCTTGATGCGTGAGGAATCTGTCCTGAATAACTCAATTTCACTTAACTGTCACTAAAAATAAGTACGTAAAAAATTAGCTCTTCTGGATTGGGTTCATTGTCTTCAGTCAGTTTTCTTTCGTATACGGAGTAACCTATCTAAGTAAATATTCTATCTTTTTAACATTATTCTGGCCGTTCTATACAGTGGGTAAGCAGTCAGTTTTGTTCAGTGTGTCATGAAAGTTATTGTGTAAGCTTTAGAATTTTGGGGACTCGAGATTCGGATTTATGGGTGCATCCCTTTTTAGGCAATGAAGTGGTATCACCTATCTTTAAAACAGCCACGTCTCAAGGCAAAGAATGTATGCCGTTTGCTATTAAAAGCAGTCAAAAACTTCATTCATTGTGCTGTCAAAAACCACCTATAAAAACCGCAGACTTGTGTATAAAAGTTAGGCAGTTTAAGTTGCCAAGCTGGAGAAATATAATGGAGATATAATGGCGGAAATATACAGGAGAAAAAATAATTAGATGAAAATTAGTGAGAATTTTCAGAATTCTAAAGATGACCAATGGAAACATCTACGCAATTGAAAACTACTTCAAGCCGTGACATCAACAGTCTCGTGACATTCGTGCGTAATGGTGAGAACTATGGATACAGTTTTATGTGCCTCTGCTGCTTGATTTACTAGATAGGAATTTAAATGACGCTTGGGCACTGCATTATAGTTGTTTTTATGTACTTGACAAATAACACTAAATCTGTATCATAATAAGCTAATTAAGCGGTTATAAGGCTTCTCAATATAAAGGCAACCCGGATATATGAAACGTAGTATTTCCAACTCTGCTTATTATGGCAACCAAAATATTAATGAGTTCTCACTGCACTACTTTTTAGTGTTGTCAAATACTTCAAGAAAAATCCAGGCCTCTTTCTGTAACGGTATCACTTTTTCTAATACGGAATTTCTTATCTCTTTCCCTACATCTCTAGGTAGAGTTGAAATTTCTGCAAATTACGCTGAAAGTAGCCGGACCAAACTTTTACTTTTGGTGTAAAATTGAATTCAGTTATAGGCTTTGCGTATTTTATAGGTTAAATGAGCTTGCCATGAAGTTCTTAGAAGTGTGAGATTTATAAAAGCAGTTCATATAATCCTGAAGGTCCATAATCACATGTTAGTCGTTTGATTTGAAACTTCTCCCTTCAACTAAACGACTTCTTCTTATTAAAATTTACCAGGGAAAATGGGAACGAGAGCAGCGTAGTCACGAAGACATTCGATGTTGTTACAGCCAAAACATCTCAAAATGGTGAAAAAACAGAGATTGTAGACGATTATGGTTTTCTCGATGAACTGAAATCAGCCGACTCTAAACGTAGAAGACAAATGGTAATAGTGCTTTTGGCACCTCGATTTTTATTTTCGTATCAAAGTAATCAAAAGCTTTTCGTGTTGTAAATTTAAATACCGTTTTTTATTTACCCTTTATTTTCTAGTAACTGTTTTTATCGAAATTCTCAGTTATCATACCGAGACGTGTTGTTTTAAGCCTTTATCTGTCATCTTCTGGAAGTTAGAAGTGATACTCAAGAGGATATTTCCGCATCTATATTTTTTCAGAAAATACTGTTGTAGTGGGAACAGAAGTACGTATATTCATTTCTGATGACTTCCTGTCTCTTTTGATGCTTACGCACACACTAACAGGAAAAGGAACTGAACCCTTATTCCCTTGTAAAATCCTATCTCGGGAATATGTCTACGAAAATGAAAGTTTATCAACAACTCGAATGTTCATTACTCTGTAGGTTCAGCAAGCAACGTTTACCTTAGCTTTTCAAAAGGTGTACCATTTGTCATTTTGGCTTCAATGCTTAAAACCTTTTAATTTCTATGTTAAGAATATAAGCTACACGAATTTAGTCTTTAACTGTTATTTAAACTGGTTAAGTTCAACTCATTCTTAACATTTTCATATTATTCCTAGTTATCTATATAGCATTACGAATGTTTTATCTAGCAATATTCGTGACTGTCATAATTCATAAAATAGCTCATTATTCTTCGCAACTGTATCGTTCTCCCGTCTTACTCTTTAAATAGTCTTACGGTTATTTATTCACTTCAGTTCATTTTCACTCTGCTTAATGCACACCTTAACTTTCCACGACGGTAGTATCATTTCAGTTATCAAAACATTGCTTTTATACGAGGAATAATAACTCAGTGGAATTCAACAACTTATTAATATAAAATCCTAATTACATTCATTTGGTTCTATGGTGACTTTTTTCAAGGTCATATCTCATTGTTGTTTAGATTAATGCGACGTAATATTATAGCTAAAGGAAAAGCGTCTGAAGGTGCAAATAGGTATTTAAAAAGGAGAGATATGACAGAACAGCTGTTCTGACTTTGAGACTATGAATCCATAAACTTCATCATACAATAGGTATTAGGGGCAAAGTCATGATTGAATCAGAGACAGAATCGAATGCAATTGAATTAAAAGTTGGGATTGTAAGCAGTTAATTTTGATAGTTATTGAATAAATACAAAATGTACAGTCAATGAAAATATTAGATGAAATGATTATGTGGTCTATACGTTAAATTTATATTCCACATAGGGATCAATACCTCGGAGTGCGGGCCATATAACTAGCACCACAGGAACAGATAAATTTGTGTACACACTTATGCAGATGGCGTCGGCAACTTGTCTCTTTTGCAGTACTAGTTTAGGTCTAGTTGAAAAGCATACGTAAATTAAACAGATCTGGTCAGCCTACTAGCAGATATATCGTCCTTGAAAAAGCAATTTGTTCATTCCTTGTGTTCCGCTTGTGACATGGGGCTTCAAACTTTGAAGTTTCAGTAGCAGCGGCGTTAATTTGGTGGGATAGGATTGCTAGTTGCACTTTCTTTTCGTGGGATTTTTCACTTGTTCTGAGTAAAGAACCGCTATCAAAATTAACTGCTTAATATTCTACTTTTAAATTCAATGGTGTTCGATTCTCTTCAATATTTTACTGTTTCTGACATGACTGTAACTTCGCATTTACTGGTTAATCTTTGCTAATGTTTATAGACCTGAGGAAGTTACTGTAAGCAACTATTCGTTCACTTTTTTTCTGGTTTAGATGATCATACGTGTCTCATTACTTCTGTAGCAGTATTAAGAAAAATCAAAGTAGGCTCTATTAGTTTATTCATTCAAGTGTAGAATTATTACAGGATTTCATCATGAGCTGACATCAGTTAGAGAACCATTGGAAAACCTGGGAGTACTGGACAGCTGTTTCGTCCTAGTTTGGGACTCTTCATCAGTACGCACCCACCGGGATTCGAACCCATGACCTTCTGGTTACAAGGCGAGCTCGTATACCATTAAGCCACTGGGACCCGATCCAATGGTCCATGAATTGTAACTTCTGCCAATTCACGACATAGTGCGACCCCTAGCCAATGTCTTCGGCGAGTATTTGTCCTCACGCCCGACCTGCTGCACCCTACTGGTCACGACTTCTCACTAGAACCCCAGGTGACTACCCACCTGAATAGGGCAAGTCGCTAGTGAACATCTCATTGATTTTCAAGTGTTGGTTTGTAGGGATTTGATTGGTTACTGGATTTCATCATGAGCTGACATCAGTTAGAGAACCATTGGATTATTTTTGTATCTTTCAGTGAATTGTAATTCATGATTTCCTCAGCGAATATTAACTTTATCGTCATACTGAACTTTTATGTACTCATTTCTAAACTACTGTCGAGTTTATCAAAATTTAATGCAGTTGCACCTATTTTAGGTGTTCAAGAATTTATTTCATTAGGCCTTGATACTATCTTCCTTCATATGAGACACTTTGATGTATCAAGGGTACTGCTTTTATTGGAAAAGTATTAAATTATATTTTATCAGTACTGTGTGTAAATAATACTGTTTCGCTGTGTGATACATCTAATAAACAAACTAATATGGAATTACTTACTACCATAGTTCCCCAGTTTTACACATATATTAATACTGTGTGTAAGTCTTTAGGTATTTTTTAAAAATCATTAGCTTCGAGACATCATAATTCTTATAGTCCATTTCAACCTGCAATAAATCCGTAGCTGTGGTTTCGAAAATATTAGTAACCAGTTTTATAATATACAGAAGTTTCATATCGTTACCATGGCGAATTCAGTGAGCAGTTTATCACGAAAATTCGGTAACCTAAGAAACAGTCTGTCATACTACTATATTGTGTTCGTCACTGATTCATTCTATTCGTACAAAGATTGTTCGATGCACTGCATTTCGTTTCATTTATCTTCGTCTTCTAGATCTCACTTATTTCGAGATCGCTTTTGAAAATTTGTAGGTTTTTTGTATCCCATCATAATTATACTCTATAAATCAGTAGAGTTACTATTGTTTGTTAACAGCCCTAACCTGTGTTTTATTTGAAATATAGTATCTTGGTTTCTAAAACTTTTGCAGCTCGGAATCATCTGTCAATGCTTTATATTTCTTGCAAAAATAAGAAAAAGACTTATTTATGTTACTTCGTTATCCATCATCAGTAGCATACGGACTGAAGGATTGCAAGGCATATACCAGTATGAGTAATCCACTTACCCTACTCATTTATTGAAGAATTACCCGTTGAAAAGTGATGTTTAAGTTTTTCACGTATTTATAAAAATTAAATGAGAAAATAAGTTCCTTCTTGTGGACTAGAATTATTCCTAATGACACTGAAATATTAACATTCTGATACCGTTCCCGACGTCTTTATCTGTGACACTTGCAGTCAGTTGTACCATTTTCCCGGGTGATTTCTGGTATGCTAGATACTTTAGAAGAAGTAGATGATCGAATTCTTGTAAGCACCTGCAGAACAGCATGAAGCGACAGATGCACTTTCTGAAAGTTTCTGTTAGAGGAAAATGTATTGCAGGTTAAAAGACTATATATGTATGTATATATAAGGTTTATTTTTTATGTTCTGTGTTCGGTGATAGAGTTCATTGCACTGTGATATAAATTAATAGTGTAAGAGAAGATACGAATGCCTTCACTAATGACAGTGGGTAGCACAGTTCTCTGTAATACTTACATAATACTTCACGCATGTATATTTTCATGACTGACATTATCTGCATTACGTTTGTGTAATTTAAGATAGTTGATCTCATATATTTATCTCTGCTTTTACGGTGAATGATTTTAAAGTCGGATACAGATCGTCCTGATTCACGTCATTCCGTCCACCGTTTCGTTGAAAAAGATGAGAAGAGTGTAACTGAAGGAGGTGATTACGGCGTTGTGAAGAAATCTATTAGAAGTGAGCTCTTATTAAGATCTTGTATTTTTCAGCATTTCTGCCCTTTCATTTTGTATTTTTCTATTTGGTGTGCTATTTATCTTTAGTATCTGATTATTTAACTGAGTATTATTTAGGAGATCTGTCAATTTGACTGAAAATCACCATGATCTGGAAGGTTGTTTGGAACCACAGGACACTGAGTAATGGTCACTCTTAAGTTCTGGAATCTTCAATAGTTTCATATCTTCAGCCAAACCATGAACTGTGTGCATTACTACAACAGATATACGTAACTACACGTAGTTTCGTGATACAAATAATCTCTCGTCGCACGGGAAACGTTATTGATTACTAAAATGAAGCGATGAGATGGGCAGAAAGGATGTTTGGAAAGTCAGGAAATTATATTAATGCCCTGATAAGATTAGTAGCAATAACTTATTGGAAACATCAGTAAATAATGCTATATCTTTGTGTGCTGTATAAATCAGAGTAACCTGTCGTTACCTGATTTTGTTATTTCGCTAGTTATTTGACCTAGCAACGAAAGGTTTTTGTTTGAAATATCCAGGATGCCATATTATCAAATATTTGTTATATTTATCGTAAGCTACAGATTCTTCACTTAATTACAAAAAAGAACTATCTAGTTGAATACATTCTTTATTTTTACTCTTCTTGACTCACAACTCTCTCCTCTAAAACTGATACAAACGACCATGAAATCACTCATGGTCTCTTATTCGGAATATGACCAGTTTATCGGAATAGCAAATAACTGTTTATCGTCTGAGTGTATGCTTATTGCGCTGCATAATACTTATAAGTAGTTAATTCTGAGTCTATTTATTTGTGAATTATGCAATAGTATTTAATGAAAAATTGTACGTATGTAAGACATTTTCACTTAATTTTAGATTTTCCCTTCCTGGATTCCATTGCTAGTCACCATCTACCAATTAAAGATATATTTCTTTCTGTGAACATTTAATATGTTTAAGGTATAGTATTGAGAGTTAGGTATTCACAGTAGATTCATCTATTAAAAGATTTCAAATGAACATGAAGTAACAAGTATAAGTGAGAGTTTAAAGGTCGCTATAACTCTTTGACGTGAGGTAATTCAGAGAAAGCTAGTGGTGGTTTGAACCTCTTTTGAGTAGAAGTTTAAAGAAAATGGTACCTGGTAATGGAGGGAATATTGAAACCGTTTACTCTTCTGCTTAAATGCAACACTACTTTTCCTTTTGGATTATATTGGTGTTTTATTTTAGCTGACAATTATTATTTGGTGTGGTTTAAAGCATTTAACATTAAAACAATACATTTCAGACACCCGATATGATTTGCTTGATAGCAATTGACATGATATATGTATTAGCGTAAATCTCAGGGAAAATGGAATAAGTAATTCCAATTTTTCGTTTGGAGATTTGGTCAGAACTTCTTCAATGAAATTATCAAAATATCAAAGCGAAATAATATTGTATGTATTTTGTTTTAACCACTGTTTATGATTCAGATATAATAGGACAAGGATTCTGAAGACAAGACGTATTCTTTTATATAAATCCTCGGTATTCTAATTCTGATTATTTCCCCGGTAAAGTTCGAACCTGTTTGCCGAAAGGAATATTGAAATTATTTATTTCAAGTTCTCTGAGATTAATACAAATGTAATGTTTTTACACATGTCTGCTTTTCACTCGATGCCGAAATTTTGTGGAGCTATTCGGTTAAATATTGACCAGAGTTCGTATAAATAATATAGTGAAATTTGTACAAAGGCTAAAAGTAAAAGAGTAATGGGCAATAAGTTCACAGGAGTTCGTATCTCCCAGGTCAGAACCATTATGCCTTTCGACAAGGATATAACATGCAGTTATTTGGTTGGGATACATCACTTGCCATACTTTTCCACTTCCTTTCAATTTTATGATGTAGGATAATTGTTATATTAGCAGCTTTCTTCAAATTAGTTGCAGCTAATCGGTCTACTCACACTGCAATATTTTGCATATGTTGAAATAATTCATTTAATAACAGTTGAACTTATCTTTCATTCACTTGTTGTTTAGATCAAGAAAATCAAGTGAACTTGAAAAACGAACGAATTTTATCAATGGATAATCTTAATAATGTATGTTTTGTGTTTCTTAACTAAATCTTCATTTCTTTGATCACTAAGTTTTATTAGTCGTCATCAAAACATCATCTCCACAGCTGGCTGTATTTTTTTTCTTTATACCTTGTAAGTTACAAAGTACTTACGTGTATAGTAAGGCGTTTTATTAAATTTTTGTTGTATATCGAAGTATCAGGTATTAGGAATCAGTTGTCTTAATAATAAGTGTCAACAGTCAAAAATTCCAAGTCGAGAATTTCTTTGTTACCAGCATTTAACCTGTGACAGCTGCTCTATTTACCACTTAGTAATCTATTTATGTGTACAACTAGATTTTCAAACTACCTTCTTTTCCAACATATTCAAAATTAAGATTTAGAGATGATAATTATGGTGGCTTTTTGGTGGATTGTAGTATGAGTAGAAGCACAAGCAGATAAATCTAGTTTTAGTGGAAAAGCAGTAATACTATGAAACAGACTGACACCTATTACCTATTGTAAAGTTAAAATTTGGTTAATTGGACTGAAGAAATTATGAGAATGGGGTTCAAAATTATATACGGAGGTTTAATTAGTTTGCTCTTCCCTGGGCAGGCAAGGAGATAATACCTCTACCAACTTTTTCTGAACAGAGTTTAAGCTGATCAGTAGCCTCAGTCATATAGTGTGTTCCCACATAGACAGGAATAAATATATATTATTATATACAGTAGACAAGTACGAAGAGCATTAAGGAAATACTATGAATCACTTTGGGTGCATTAGTTTACTTCACTGTCTTTTGCACCGTCTGAGACACACTGGTTAAGCTGATTAGTTTTATGTTTGGAACAACTATCTTCGTAAAAGCAACTGGATTGACAAATATACATGGAAGTAGCAAAACTAGTTAGAAAGTTTTTACTTTGTGCAGAACCATTTGTCAACTGAAAAACGACTGACAGGTGTTTGGCATACAGTGTCCTGCGAATGGTTGGTGTTAGTCTGCATAACAAAATTCTGCTGGATAAATCAACATTAAATTGCAGCTTAACAAATAATGGTATCTTACGTAACGTCATTGCTTCTGTTATCCTTGGCTAATTTGTTCGTATGTTTCCTTATGAAAAAATGTATGTCATCTAAGTCGCAGAATCAAGCTAGTTTTGTAAGTGATCTCTCGAAAATCTTTCATGCTCTTTCTGTAAGACATTTAATAAGGCTTTTGTGATGACTAATAGGTGCATAACTAGGGAAATGTGTGTTCTCCCACAATACCTATATATCATCCGAATATAACATACCTTTCTCCTGTTCCTACTTATGATGTCTGTTGGAAGACATTATGACACTTAAAACCACTTCACAAAGTCAGTGATTTTTAGTTCACTAAAAATATGCAGAAGATATAGTCATTCTAGGTGAAGACGCTGACCGCGTTAAACAAGCGATGCTCGGAGAAACAAACATGAGAGAACCAGGCAGGCTTTAGACCAGAAAGAGGGTGTATCGATCATATCTTCACCCTACGACAGATTCTGGAACATTGGCATACTTACCGGCGTCCGACAATCGTCATATTTCTTGACCTAAAGGCGGCATTCGATTCTGTCAACCGAGAGGTACTCTGGCGATGTTTGGCCGTAAAGCGAATGCTGAGGAAATACACTGCACTGATCAAGGCACTCTACTCGAACTCGTGCAGCCAGGTGAGAGCTTACGACTAGTTGTCGTATGAAGTGGTGACAACTAGTGGTGTCCGTCAGGGATGCCCACTATCATCATTTCTATTCAATTTCATCATAGATGTACTAACGGAATGAACCCTAAGTGACTTCAGCGACTCAGGGATTGACTTGTTACCACCAGGGATTAATCTCGTTGACTTAGAATATGTAGATGATATAGTCCTTCTAAGTGAAGACGCTGAAAAATTGCAGACAGGGTCTTCCGAACACCTTGACAGGCAGAAATCTTCTCTAGTGTTTGTCATGAGATTCGCTCCTCCTGTCAAGTGTAAGATGATGCTACAGGACTGGACTACATTGACTCCTAGCTTAGAAATAGGAAGTGAAGTGATAGAGCGTGTTGACCGCTTCACTTATTTGGGAATTTGCATTAGCCAACGCCAACGGGTTGATCTCTGACGAAATCTCAGCACGGATACAGAAGGCTCGTCTCGCATATGCCAGTTTACGCCGTCTCTGGCGTAGACGTGATATCCGACTATCGACCAAAGAGTATGTGTGCTGCTCACCAGTCCGCTCCGTCCTCCTTTATGGCTGTAAGACCTGGCCATTGAGAGTGGAAGATATGGAAAGGCTAGTTGTCTTTGATCATAAGTGTCTGTGTTCCATTTCCCATGTTTGGTGGTATAAAGGGTGAGGAATATTGAAGTTGGGTATCGGTCGAATGCAAGGTAAGGAGGGGAAATCAATAGACGAGGTTGAGAAATTACGTCGATTGAGGACATGTGTTACTTATGCCTAGCCATCGCCTTCCTCGACGGGCGATGTTAAGTGACATAGGATGGATGGATAAGGTTGGAAAAGATCTAGTGGTGTTCAAACGGAAACATGGTACCGGTCAATGAAGTCCACAACAGTTAGTTTAAGCCAGTCACGTAGGAAGGTGTAGACTTCCTGGTTGGGGTCATCGGGATGATAAATACCAATGGCTAGAGACAATTGGTGATAGATATGGCCCAAAATCGTTCTCAATGGCTGGTGCAGATGCATCCACTCCTTGTGACTCATAATATCCAATAAAACTATATGGTTCTTCGATATTACTATTCTTTTTGCCTCATATCTCTGTTTACTGTCTCTATTTTGCATTCCTTTTTACTTTCTTCTCTTGCTTTGTGTGCTACATGGAGTGTGGCAACTTTAACTGCTGCACATCGGTGCAAAGTTCTATGTTGAAACCAGTCAGTGATTTTTCGTATGAGATATATTTCGTGTTTTGTAAGCTTTCTATTGTACATGCTCATAATAGGAAAACACTGATTAGAGCACCTAGATGTGATGTAATACAAAATGTTTTACTGCAACACAGTTTGATTCGGTATTTATCACCATTTAAATTTTTGACATTTCATTCCTTTTGTCTTGCTTCTGAATATTGCTTTCAAACAAGCGTGTAGTTTTTAGTTCCTTCTTTAACTAACACCGTCTCATTCCAAGATTACTTAATTTATTGTCGCGCTTCGCACAAGTCATCGTACGAAAATAGTTGTGTTTAAAATGTTCTCTTTTTGTACTGTATGCCTTCAATGATCGTATATGATAACTGTCAGAGGAGAGCGAACTGCTGTATAGTATGATTTGGATTTATTTTAAAACTTATTTAAATGTTTACTTGTTTTTAAATTCAGAATGAATCAGTTAAATCGCCATTAATCAGTGAGCATTCTCAACCTTCAACCCATATGGTTAATCGACTACAACAACAGACAGATATTCTCAGGTGAGATTATACTTTCAATACATTTAGTTTTCTCAAAGTATTGACTTTTGAATGGAAAAAAGTCAAAATTTTAAAAACAACATTCGTGGAGCCTGTTTTTCAAATTGAATTATCTTGATCATTTTAATCCACACTTTTCTTTTATTAAGTATGGCTGATGCATCATTTTCGATAACTGTGTAATATTCTTGTAATTCAATAGATTTCCAACTAATATTATGATGCCTCGTCATTGGTGCACGAAAAAGTGTAATAACATGCTTTAAAGTTCTTTCAGTTTAAGGCAGTACTCATACTAGTATTAACTGTCCTCACTATATCAATCATTCATTTATCAGACTGTAGGAGCGAACAAACGTCATCGGCCTTACGGCTTAAGTACTAATGATACCGCTTTCAAGAAAATATTCATCTCACTTTTTGTGCCTATAGATGCATATATGGTGTTGCAACCTTAGTCAAAAGTTTAACTCCCTCTATTATTAAGATGTGAGTTGAAAAAACCCCAAAGAAAAGTCACATATCAATTGTAATATATGCAATGTTCATCTTGGAATGAATAGTTAAACACTCATCAGACGTAACTTTTATCCTCTCTTTTAAGAATACATTATACAGTATGGATTCTAAAATCTGTGAACTGCATTTGGATTAATTATTTCTGTTTGAATTGGCAGCGTCCTAAAAGTGATTAAACCTTTATAAAAATAGGTATTTCTTAGACTGTTACACTAGTAAACTTTTTTCTTCCAAATAGATAAATGAGTAGAACAAATTAGAACCTTGAGCAAGTTAAGCCAGTCGAGTTCCGATGTGAATAAAAACATTTTTATTGGTTATTTCTACCAAACCTTGACTGTCTGTATTTCCTGTTTTTTTACCAAACCTTCGTCGGTCTTGGATAATTATTGCTATGCTGCCGTTGCTGCGGCCTTTTTCTTTCCATTAGAGCTTATTTCAAATTGCAGTCAGTAATTATCTGTAATTCTCATCATGAATAGTCTTCTTAATTTTCATTAAATTTCTTCCATTAGAATTTGACATTGTAAATAAAACAGTTGTTTTGTTTAATTTAAATACTCATCGACTGAAATTCTCTTTTCAGTCTCGTAGGTATTAGTTCAGGTATGTTGTCACTCAACATTTGTTACCAAGTCAACATCAAGGTATTTGTTTGTTTACGTTGCGTAACCATGTTAACAATATGACACTTCAAATAAAAATTATTTCATTGATCAGAATCTACTATCCATATTATTTTTATCTATTAGGAAAATATCTGTACTTCAATGTACCATGTGATTTAGTCGAATCACTTGATTACCAGCTGGGTTTGAAGGAATCATATATATATATATATATATTCAGTATCCAGTGGAATGTTCAACGTCAGTCTGCATGGGATTTTCGCCTAAGGTGTTCAGAAGGGTTCACATTTTTCAGTTGTTGTCACTTAGAAGGAGTATATCATCTGCATACTCTAAATAAACAAGATTTTATCCTCGCGAGAAAGCAATCTCCAAGTCGCTAACGTCGATCAGGGTGACATCCATAAGTAAATCTATGATGAAATTGAATAAAAGTGGAGACAGCGCTAGTTGTTCTAATTCCATATAGCCACTCTTCATAAGCTTTTACGCGACTGCATTAGTTCGAGTGGAGTGCTTTGATAAGTGCGATATACTTTCTCAATATTCCGTTCACCGCTAGACACTGCTATGATGCCTGTCAGTCGACAGAATCAAACATCGCCTTCAAGTTAAGAAATATGGCAAGTGATGAAGGCAGGTAAGTATATCTGTTTCAGAAACTGTTGAAAGATGAAGATATGATCAATACACCCGATGGATAGCTGCTACTATGACGTGGTAGTTAAGCTTGCCTGTCACAATAACCTGACGAGTCACGTTGGCTGGATGAAACCTCCTGCATGCCTTATCTTGCAATAAAGGTCTTTTGGATAGGTGTCGGACCAAAAGTAATCAGCATCATCATATGAATCACTTACATATTTACTTTCCTCTGGATGACCATCAAGGCAGTTATTCTGTCACCCAGATCTGGAGGACGGGCACTGAACAAGGCATACTCCAAAAGTCGTACATCCTTACTTTCACTGTAGCGGTCCCTAGGCAGACGTAAGGTCTTTATACTGATATATCCCTGGAAACTACTACAAACAAGCAGTGAGATTGGCCTCAAACAGTTATTGCCTGGGCCCTGAAGTAAAAGGACACTATTGGTCTTTCTGTTTCAGGTATTTTTAAGAAGAAAGTAATTTTCAGTGTTGGCAGACGAGGAGTAAGTGCACAAAGCTTTCCTAGTGTGATATCTCTTGCCCGGTTTACCCAAACTATTAGTTTAAAGATTGGGAGTTTAGCGGTTGGGCGTGTTGCCAACACTAATTTAGGAGGTTAAATCAACCTCAGTGTGCTGGTTGCTGGGGAAATTTCAGCTGGGATGCTGTAAGCTCATTTGGCATTTGCTGCTTAGGGTGCAGACATTATATTCAGAGGAGGAACTGTGCAGCGATTAGCTCTGTCCTTCTTTAAGGCTGTGAAACACGTCCATTGAAATTGAAAGATATGAAGAGGGTAACTGACTTTGACCACAAGTACCTGTGTTCTAAATCCTGTGTTAAGAGGTTTAATACGCATTCACTCTTTGAGATCTTCCTTATTCATTATATCCTTATTATTTCCTATATAATTATTCTTTCCCCCGTATATTTTCTTTTATTGTAGCTTCTTTCTGTATTTTCCCACCTTCGTATATGCTCTTATAAGATGTGGCAACTTGAACTTCTACTCTTTGACACAAAGTTCTATGTCAAAAAATTCAGTTGATTTTGATTGAGCGATGGTCTCAACTTCTAATAAAAGTGAAGGGAATGGAAAATAAATTAAATTTTAGAACTGAAACATTATCTTTAAATATAACACTCCAGAGAATATGTAACGCGACCGACTTATCACTCTCAATTCACTGGGCTGTTGTCTAAACCTTCTGCTAACCTTGTGGCTGAGATATTACTAAACTTCAGTTCGTTCATTGATATTTTAATGTCTGATAATATACGATTGAATACTCGGCTACTTACTTACACACTGGGAGGACACAGAAGAGCGACTGACAAAGAATAAATTTATTCCTTCAAGAAAAGACCATATTGCAACGGTAGAAGACAAAGACTTGGTAAAGGAATATCTATTTGTAAATTGGTATCTCAATATAGCCAAATTATATGCACCTTATCTTCAACGCACCATTTGCACAGATCTTCGTGTTGTGGTACTTTTGGCCTCCTTTCAATTCTGCCATGTATCTCCACAACCCTTTATCATTTGCCTTCACTGACACCAAATATATTTCCCTGCTATTTGTTGTTTTTATACCGATGAACGTCTCCTTATATACTTCTGATAAATATTATCAGTAGCACTCGCCACAATATTACCAGAAATCACAGCTAATTATGTAGTTGCTGCTCATGACCAATAAATCACTAGTTTAAGATATGATAACTGTTTAGACTGGTTGGGATGTACCAATGAAAATACAATGAGACCACCTTTAATTTAAGTTACGATCTAATATCTGGTGTCCCTCCACTCTGAATGGAGGGGGTTAGAAAAGGTCGACCCCAACAATTGTACATCCTGACTTACCCTACGGTGGTTCGTAACCGGCAGTAATAATACTAAACCAATCCAAGAAACCAGCTCATACATGCCGTGTGTGACCGGCCTCGAGTAGTTTTCCCCTGGGCTCTGTGGTCACGCAACACTTTCTGTTTCAGGTACCCGAAGAATCAACCAACTTCCACGGTGTGGGCAGCCGGGAAGTAACAACCGCTCACACACTTCTAAGAGCACACGAAGCCTCCCCGAGCACCATTCTCTCATATCACCTTACTCCCCTGCTGCAGTTAGTACTATTGTTCAGGCTAGTGAGTCATCTTCACTTCATTCTTTGACCACAAACAACTATGAGAGCCATAGAAACACCCGCGACGACCTCTTAAAGCTACGTCTCCAACTTCATATAGGAGCATTTAACGTCAGTTCCCTCTGCCAAATCGTTCAACAGGCATCACTAGCAAGAATTCTAGCATCTCCAGCCGTGGATGTATGTTGTGTCTTGGAGATACGCATACAAAACCCGAGTGTGGTCATTCACTTAAACCCCACCCAATCAACAAGGTGAATCTGCAAAATTTACTTTAAGGGTGTCAGGGGACCGCTCAGCTATTTCGCGAGGACTCGCAGGTGTGGGGATAGCATTGAGTATTAGGGCAGAAAAATCCCTCCTTGACTGGATCTCAGTAGTTAGTCGTATGTGTGCGGTGCCTCCAAACGGGTGCGTTAGACGAAGAAAGGACAGCGTTACCCATCGTTGTCTTTTCGTAGTCTCCGCTTACGCCCCACCCGACTGCAGTTCAGATGAACTAAAGGATGACTTCTACCTGAAACTGTCTACTTTGCTGAAAAAAGCAAAACGTTCAGATATAGTTGTTTTAGTAGGCGACTTCAATGCCCAAGTAGGGAAGTTGTGCCAGACTGTGAAGTATGTAGGTGGTACGTACGGAGTTCCCTGCCAGCAAACCGACAACGGTGATCGTCTTCTACAATTTTGCTCAGATAATCATCTGTTCCTAGTCAGCACTAACTTTAGGCACACAGAGAGACACTGCATAACCTAGCGAACTCCATTACCAAATCAACGTTAGACTAAGATAGACCACATGGCGAAAGGTTATCGTTGGTGAGGGCCAGTAGAAGACTGCCGCTTCTTTTGGAACACGTGCGTAGATTCTGATCACGCTCTGGTCCGTGCACGTTTATGTTTACGACTAAAAGGATACAAGAAATTGCTGGCAGCGAAACAGTTAAGTCCCCAACTAGATCAAGATACTGAGTCCCTATTTAAGGAGGAAATAGCGAAATGTGTGTCTGAGGTCGACAGCAGGACTCCTCCTGAAGTAGCCTGGCACAACATACAGTTAGCTGTAGACACAGCTGTAAAAGCTGTTAATAATCTGAAACCTAAAGTTAGTAAGAGTCTCATCCGAACTGATTGACGCAAAAGACTGTTTCCGATGAGCTCCGAATATACATTGATTGGACAGTGGTAACTATTATGATGTGTCTGTTCCTTTCTTTGGTGCAGACTGAATTCTTTCAGTCAGGTTTGCGACGTGGCTACCACTCTAGGTTGCTCGCCATCACGGTGCACATTGATTTGATGCTATTAGATAGTTGGAGCTCCGATTATGTAGAGGAGCGGAAGCTACTGAAACGCAAACTAACAAGAAGCCTCCCTAACGACCGTGTACAGTGGTGGCCAACAAAAGCGAAAAAGATGGAGAAGGCATCGTTGAGTGCTTATACCACAGAACTATTTAGGCTTATCAGGGAAACATGTGTTAAATGGCAAATGATGAGTGAAACAATCTCTGAGAAGAACGGCACCGTAATTAGCTCACAGGATAGACGACTAGGACGTTGGAGAAAATACTGTGAGTATCAATTTAATTGCCTTACAAGCATACTCAACTTACCCAGCATCCATCACCTCCCTGAACGGGATATAGACACAGGTCATCCGTCCCTAACTGAGGTTACTGACACTGTCAATAGTCTGAAATGAGGCAAGCAGCAGGAACTGATGGAATGACTTCAGAGGTATTTAAGAACGGTGGAGACAGTCTACTGTCTGCGTTATCTAAGGTACTAGACAGCCTCTGAGAATCAGTGGAAGTCCCGTCACGTTGGTTTAAGTCATTGATTATCGCGATATACAAAACGAGAGAAAAGTCTTCCTGTGATAATCATAAGAGGATTAGCTTGACTAATATGGTATCTAAAGTTCTACGCTCAATTATCATGTGTAGACTGAGTGATGCTCGGAGGAAAAAACACGAGAGAACCAGGCAGGCTTTAGACCAGAAAGAGGGTGTATCGATCATATCTTCACCCTACGACAGATTCTGGAACATTGGCATACTTACCGGCGTCCGACAATCGTCATATTTCTTGACCTAAAGGCGGCATTCGATTCTGTCAACCAAGAGGTACTCTGGCGATGTTTGGCCGTGAAGCGAATGCTGAGGAAATACACTGCACTGATCAAGGCACTCTACTCGAACTCGTGCAGCCAGGTGAGAGCTTACGACTAGTTGTCGTATGAAGTGGTGACAACTAGTGGTGTCCGTCAGGGATGCCCACTATCATCATTTCTATTCAATTTCATCATAGATGTACTAACGGAATGAACCCTAAGTGACTTCAGCGACTCAGGGATTGACTTGTTACCACCAGGGATTAATCTCGTTGACTTAGAATATGTAGATGATATAGTCCTTCTAAGTGAAGACGCTGAAAAATTGCAGACAGGGTCTTCCGAACACCTTGACAGGCAGAAATCTTCTCTAGTGTTTGTCATGAGATTCGCTCCTCCTGTCAAGTGTAAGATGATGCTACAGGACTGGACTACATTGACTCCTAGCTTAGAAATAGGGAGTGAAGTGATAGAGCGTGTTGACCGCTTCACTTATTTGGGAATTTGCATTAGCCAACGCCAACGGGTTGATCTCTGACGAAATCTCAGCACGGATACAGAAGGCTCGTCTCGCATATGCCAGTTTACGCCGTCTCTGGCGTAGACGTGATATCCGACTATCGACCAAAGAGTATGTGTGCTGCTCACCAGTCCGCTCCGTCCTCCTTTATGGCTGTAAGACCTGGCCATTGAGAGTGGAAGATATGGAAAGGCTAGTTGTCTTTGATCATAAGTGTCTGTGTTCCATTTCCCATGTTTGGTGGTATAAAGGGTGAGGAATATTGAAGTTGGGTATCGGTCGAATGCAAGGTAAGGAGGGGAAATCAATAGACGAGGTTGAGAAATTACGTCGATTGAGGACATGTGTTACTTATGCCTAGCCATCGCCTTCCTCGACGGGCGATGTTAAGTGACATAGGATGGATGGATAAGGTTGGAAAAGATCTAGTGGTGTTCAAACGGAAACATGGTACCGGTCAATGAAGTCCACAACAGTTAGTTTAAGCCAGTCACGTAGGAAGGTGTAGACTTCCTGGTTGGGGTCATCGGGATGATAAATACCAATGGCTAGAGACAATTGGTGATAGATATGGCCCAAAATCGTTCTCGATGGCTGGTGCAGATGCATCCACTCCTTGTGACTCATAATATCCAATAAAACTATATGGTTCTTCGATATTACTATTCTTTTTGCCTCATATCTCTGTTTACTGTCTCTATTTTGCATTCCTTTTTACTTTCTTCTCTTGCTTTGTGTGCTACATGGAGTGTGGCAACTTTAACTGCTGCACATCGGTGCAAAGTTCTATGTTGAATCCAGTCAGTCAGTCGTAGAGATTATTTCGAAATTTCTGAGTCACAGTTTATCCGCTTCCTTCATAACAGTTCATTAATCCAGGTGACTAGCAATGCATTTTTTAAACGGTTACTTTATGGTGAAGTAGTCTGTGAGTGGCAGACCACTGTTGATTCAAACGTGAATATTAGAAAATTATTGCACATCTTTGTGGAGGTAAGTTTCGAATCACCTACATCCAGAATGCAGTCACGCGTTATCACCTCTTTATAATCCCAACAGTTAATGTCCATCTGTCGTATGAATGAATGATGCGTAGCTCTCTGCCTGCTACTACAATACCTGCCAGCTAGGTATCCTTTCAGTTTTATGCATTTTGAATTAAGAGGAGAAAATCAAGTTTTTAATTGGTGATTGTGACTTAATTAGCACCTGGATTTCTTAGTTCACCCAGTAATCCATAGTTCATTGGTTAGAATTCCTCTGCCACCAAGATTTTTGTTTTACCTTCAATTATCACCCATTACTTTAACACATTCTCACGAATGTATGTGTAGCAAATACTGGATCAGCGTGTGCTATTTTTTTGATCATCTGCAATAATTCAAGCATGTCCGTATCAAAGCATTATTAATAAAAATAAAATTTTTATGGCATTTCATCGCTGCTAATAAACTCCAGCATGCTTAGTTTATACCAACTTAGAAACACTGAACATATTGTACAGATATGTTTGCGGAAATCGTTTACTGAATGATAACTGAGACATATGCCGCGCTTACTGATTAGTGCCATCTGAAGTAAACTTACATAGTAATATCTATATTGAGTTTTTTAAGTGCACATATTTAGCTTACAGAAAGCCTTAGAGATAGTTTTTTCATACATTTATCCCCGTAATGAATTTGAATAAAACGAGAACAACAGTTTTTGCAGAATAAAGTGGTACCATCATTAATTTCGTTGGCTTCTCATCAACTGCTTAGCCTGAAGATATTATTAAGTTGATGTACATAACAGATTTTAACATACCCAGGCCAAAGACGTTATTAACTATATCTACAGAAATTATTTTAACATACTTGCACAGAGTTCATTTGTAAACAAAAATCAATCGAAGTGTTCTCCTTAAGTTTGCCAAAGCAATCTCCATCAAGCGCCTGAAATCCGGTTTATGCGTTCAGAGAAAAGCAGTTATCAGTCTTTCCTTGCCCTGGTTACTGGATATTTTCACCCTCTCTTTCATCTGACTACGTAATGCCGAATGTTTTCATTGTGTATGATCATTATTGTTGTTTGGGATAGTGTTTATTATTATTATATATTATTGTTGTACGCATATATTGATTGGTTTATTTTTGTTTAAAAATGAACTCTGTGCAAGTATGTTAAAATAGTTTTTGTAGACATATTTAATAATGACTTTGACCTGTAAGCAGCTTATGAGAAGTCAACGAAATAAATGATAGTACCATTTTATTCTGCAAAAACTGTTGTTCTTCATTATGCATAAGATTTTACTTTGATAAATCACACAGTGTTACACAGTAATATTAACTGATGACGTTTCGAGCACAAATTATTGCTCATAAGCATATCAAGTTACTCACACAACTTTATTCAGATAGTTTTTTACTGGTGTAGTCAGCAGTGTAAGAAATAATATTTTATTCGAAATGAGTATATTCACACTTGTAGATATTCCTCCCTGTCTACCTAAAATAAATACAAAAGTAGGTATCAAACTGACGAACTTATACCATATAATTGACTGAGTTTCAACATAAAACCATCCACAGAATTGCAAACAGCAGTCAGCAACTACTATTATTATCTGTCTGAATTCTGTTGGTTTTTTCGCTATATTTTCTGTTAGCTAATAAAGCTCCCTTTTCCAATACGTTCATGCATATATTCTTTCATTAAAAATTTTCGCATGTAAACACTGATTTTCTTACAGTATTAAACCATTTCACTACACTAGATTATTTGATTATACTCTTCATTTATGCAGATGCCCTAACTGTTATCATGAAAGGCCAGTGAGTCGGAAACAGAACTTCTGTTTCCATTGTGGTATGAGTTTACCTATTCTGTCGTCACCTAAGTATGGCTCGTACGCATTAGAGAACATTGGTGTTTGCCCATACTGTAAAGCTCATGTGCCGTTAAATTTGACTAGCTGTTTAGTATGTGAAGCTCCATTACAAAGGTCTCAAGTACAAGTATGTATTTTACTTATTTTTAAATGTGGATCTGTTTATTAAATTGTTTATACATTAAAACGGTGCCTTTTCTTCAATCCAACAGAAAACCCATTTAACCATATTGTTTAATGTTGAGAGATTTTGGAATATCGGAAGTTATTTGTATGAATATCCTCTGTATGTGAATTGTCTTTTCTCCGGTTCTTCATTGGAATAAAACACGGTAGGCATTGTATGCAACAAATCTGTATGTCAAAAGACTGATTACTTAACAAAGAATATTCTTTTTAATAACTTCTTCATCAGGTTCTGCAGTTACATATCCATAATAATGAAAGAATTAGGGTTGTTAATGTTTAAATAACCTCGGAACAATAATAACAATAGATTACTGTTCAGTAGCATCTGTAAGGGTAATCATATGCATCAACATAACAATGAATATCATGCTAATCAGGGAAGTTGACAATACAGAATTCATGAACTTATAGGCTCCACAGGTGGCCAGGGCAGTAATAGTGGCTAGACCTGTTTCTTCTGCACACAGAGTACCGGTTGTTCTAGGCAAATCGCAATAGCCTCTGCTGTTTGGAGTATTCGGTACCTGGATGCTTTTGGCAATTTATGTGGTATCTGATGGATTATGGAGAAGGACCAGGTGGTCTGATATTGAGCTGTTTACAGCTTTCAATACACCTTTATTTAGCCAAACCGGTAGGAGTTCCCGAGCATGAAGTTCCCAGAGCAACTACCGGATAGACTGTAACAATAGGTTCCATATAACTAAGCTCCTGGTTTATGCATAGTAATCATGGACTTAAATTTGCATAGGAAATTAGTTTTTAGTGTCTTATGGCATTGTTCCGTAGTCGCTTTTCTAAGCTTGCCTTGCATTCTATAATTATCATATCGTTCAGGCGCAAAAATAATCTATTTGTGAAATACCTAATCAAATCCTAGCTCCAATCATTTTTTTATTCTTCAGTAATTTAGGAACTTTGGCTTTAGTTCATCTGAACTGTGATCAAGATTTGACAGATTAGTTCCAAAATAATTCTTCGCCCATTGAGAAGTAGACATTTGTGAAAATTATATTTGTAAAATCTCAGAGAAATTGAAATGAGTAATTCCAACGTTTCGTTCGGCAAACTGGTCTGAACTTCTTCAGGGAGATTAAGCGAAATTATAATAGCAAAGGTTTATATATAAAAGGGATATCTCTTGTTGTTAAATCATATGTTCAATCATATGAGTCATGAAACAGGCACCAAAATGAAATAAACAAAACTTTTGCATGAAATGTGATCAGAATTTGACCACAGACTTACAAATATTAGTCTGCTCTTGTTTGAGACTTTAAACAGAATGTACTTTTAATCAGAATTTTAGTGATTACGTTCAGCTAAAGCTCATGGTTGTGGATAACTCAATATGAAAAATATATATATGTATGTGCGGTATACAATGGTGTGTGTCCATGTGTGTATATGTAAACAATTGTAGATCATTTGTTAGCCTCTCCATAAGAAGATATAAGCAATCGCGAATTTAGATCAAGTATGACTGGTCAGTGATACATATCCATTTTTATTTATTAATAAGGATTTCCTATGCATCAGCTAACATCACGCCTTCATGTCTGTCCAAACTGTTAGTATCTAGAATTTTATGATTAGACGTATTTTCAAAATTATGGTGTTTAGGATTGGAGTTTAGTTGAAACACCCTGTTGAACTTATTGATTAGTCTTCTTTTTGAAGATTGAAGATAAAATTCTTCTTTAAACTTAAAAGCATTGTTAATGACAGTCTTCAATTCTTATGTAACCAAGACAGATAAGATTCAATCAATATTGGAAATCCGCATTGGAATTGATTTCATATTATTGGTTGCTCTATGAAGGCGTTCTCGTACAAACCTTATAGTTGTGGAATGAACTGCGTTAATCGACCTTTGGTCTTAGTACCAGTGTGTATCCACTAAATAAAGCTTCTAGTGATCATCTTGTTGTTTATATTGTGTGTACAAATCAAGTAGTGACCGAAATTGTGGTCTACGGGACGATGTCGCCTGATCAGTCGTATTTGTAGTTATAAATGAAATCAGACGTACAAGTGAAAAGGTAGAAAGAAGTGTCTATCCATTTTATAAATACATTAGGCAGTTAACTATGTTATATCAAGAACTGCTGTTTATGCAAACTGCCTAACGTTTTGAAGAAACCTTTTGGCTTAACACAAAAGGATTGTAGAATTTTATTTCCCTTTAAATGTGATTGTATTGACTCTTCATATGTGTCATTTTGACCTATATTTTAAAAAATACACATGCTGGGGTAACGTAAAAATGTAGTACCGAAAATTTGTGTTTGCAATTATATATAATTTTTTATCAGTACGAATGTTAACCTGGAAAGTTCTTTGGAATTTTAGTAGCTTAATTCACTCTTAGTCTTGAATTTAAGTATGAAAAGTAAGAGATCAGCAGTCATTAAGTATCAAGCACCAACATTTTGAAGGCTAATTTCCTTAAAATGAACTAAGCTTATAAGTCCGGTCTAAAAAAACAAGAATAGTTACTGACTCAAAACATCCGTGATATATTTTTTCATGAGATGATTTATTTTTGGAAATGAAGTTTTCATCTTAGTTGATCTCACGTACTGCGCTGTTTACTGAACTGCTTTAATCAATTGAAAAGTGTGTGCCTCTGCACTGCAATTCCTCCAATATTCGTAATGACGAGAATCAATCAATCTTACCAGTAGAAACCAAAAACACTAATGCTTTCTTGAGTACTGTTCAGCTCTCCTCTCTCCCTACCTGAGAAAATGTGCGTTGGCACCCGTTAGTGTTTATAACTTCTTCCCAATGAATCGTGTTACTTGTGAGTAGTGTGTTTGTTGAAACGACATGTTTCGTAAATTGAACCAAACCATCATAACCATTGATAAATACCATTTGTGAAATTAGCATATGGTGTTAAAGTTGTATAAACTCTGTGTTTATTGATAACAGATTGTCTCAAGTTTTCAACAGATGCAGTTATAAGTACTTATATGTCAGTCATCTTGATACGCACACTTAAATTGTTTTCGAATGTAACGTCTTATTGCTAACTTAAGATCATTACTTTGGTCTTATGCGTATGAATTAAGCACTGAAAAATTTATTTAACCAGTCCGTTTAAAAATTAATATGAACTACTTAAAATAAAGCACCTTATCAAACTACGTTTACCTTGTTTTGTTCATTTTTATCTTTGATTATTGTAAATACTAAATTCTCCAACAAGAACAGGAAAAATTCCTAAATATTTTTATATGAAGTCTATTTGTTTTGTAATGGAGGGGGTACTGAAATACCTAATGCGCATCTTCTGAAACTAGTAATATGTAACATATTCATCGATATAATAAAGGAATCTGGACACCATTGTGAAGTATAACTCCATAATAGATAATTAATGTAATAAAGCACATAAGTTGTTATTTACTCATGACCTTGTGATCACAGTTTCCTGCATATAATTCTGTAACTGTGCTGAAATCAGTTCATGACTTTGTTTCTCTTATTTTGTATTTTGCTGTCTTTTCAGGAGTACTTTCCTTAGATTTGACAAGCGTTGCATTGATTATATCCTGAAGTATTGAATAATAAGCTGTCTCTACTCAGTTATTTTAGATGTTAGCAGTGTTGTCGTTTCTCCCCTTCTAATATGAGTATGGTAAAAATTTCTGTAATAGGATATTATTAAGTGGCATTACAGGTTAGTTACAGAATCTTTATTCATTGAATCAACTTTGTAAATGTGCAATAGCAGTGACTGTACAACAAACATATGGAAATTAGTGTCACTTAGTTAAAAATTTAGAAACAAGATGACGACTGGAAGTAGCCGTAAAATACGTTGATACAATCATTTGAAAAGTACATTGTGTGGTTAATAAAGATTCTTGAATCAGTGTGCTATATGAGAAATTTTGACATATTACAGAATAGGGTTATTTTTGTTTCCCACTTATTTAATGATTGCGTTCTTTATATTGCATTACATGATTTTACTTATGCATGAATAATTCTTTCGTGTCACAACTGTTTGCCTTGCTTAGCTTACTGCATATCATTTGAAATCATTTTTCAGAAGTATGGTCAATATCCTAAAGAATGTCGTTTATGTGCAACATGCAGAACAATGAATCCTATTGATACTCGAAGTTGTATAATGTGTGAAGCACGATTACCAATGGGTGGTACTAATGTGGTACTCTCTAAAGGACAATCTTTCCGTGACTCCCATGTACCTTGTTTAAAGGAACAACAAAATAAATATACAGAAATGAATAAATCTGTACGATTTTCTCTTTGTGTTTACTGTCATCGTGAAAATAATCCTGATGCACGTTACTGTGATTGGTGTGGACTAGAGGTACCAAAGCAGTCTTTAAATCCCTTGAACAGTGAACTAAAGTCTCCAGATAATAATGGTGCTCATCATGATTGGTCATTTTATGATAATCATAGTAAAACCTCTGTACGTAATGGTTTCATACATTGCATTAAATGTGATTTACCTAATCCTAAGGAAGCCAATTATTGTTCTTATTGTGGATTGAACTTACTGCCTCCACCACGTGTTGGATGGTATTCAACTAGTCATACATCCAGTGAGTGTTTTCTTAGTGTCATTTTAATTTGTTTAACAATTGATAACTTAAACTGTATCATTTGCTCAAAAGGCTAAACGAAACAGTTGTAAGTGTATTTTATATAAGTAACAAAAACAGTATTTAGGTTCCCTAGCAATAAAATTTGTCTATTAGGTTACAGTTCTTCTTTCTACAAATTATAATTTGATTCAACACTGAGAGTATTAATATCATGTTAAAATAAATATATAAGAAGGGCTTTTTTCAATGTTGCCTCGAGTTTTCTAAAAACCCAAAACAGATCACTTTGAGTATTTTAATGCTAATTTTCGTACTCCACTGGCGGTTAATTTAAATTGCAGCAATAAATCGCATGTATTAAAGAAGCGAAACAGGTAGAAATAATTTGTATATACCAGATTGTAAACAAAATATTATGAATAGTGAAATATTTTTATTGTGAAGTTTCTTGTAATTTCTAAAGTTGATTTAATCCCATTCCTATAATTGATGAATCTTTTATTTATTATTATGAAAGAAGTTTGTTTTCCAATAAATTAAAAACAAACCTGCACTGCTTATACTGACGTTTCGCTATTTAAAATGCTAACAGCTTTATCAAGTACCAGTAAACCAGAATTTACAAAGTTTCACTATTCTAAGTTGTCAGGTGAATGAATTAGTAAACATAAGAAAGCACCAACAAATTGTTGTGTTCGATAAGCTTATGAATTATAAAACAGGTATGTATGTACGTAGTGGAGATGCTTGTAACATTTGGGTTGATTTTGTCAATCCTTGAGTTATTAGATTCTGGCCAAATTCTGTCTTTACCCATTATTTCTAATAAAATAATTTAGACTCCATTTAGTGTGAAGTATTTCTGATATGAGACGTTCTTTTTGACTTAGGAATTTCCCTGAATAATTCCCGTGTTATTACAGTCACTCGTATCACTTGATTCTGTAGCATGTAGACCTATAGTGGAAAATTTTTCAAGCTTTTCTGATTTCATTGCATTTCTCGATGGTTAAATATAAGCTCTATGGTGTTTGTTACTTTTGACTTGGATTTCCCGAGTGGTTTGTCCGACATAGATTGTATCACTTTCTGAAAAATTTATTTTATAGATACAGTCCTTCATATGAACAGCATTACTTTTTTGTAAGTTTTGAAAAAAAACTGTGGTGTTGCATTTGTTAAGTACGCTTGTGATCTCATCTGATGGTGTATGTGGAATAACAACTAATATGATCCACATCTTCGGAGTACGTTGTTGGCTATATTTAATATTGTTGTTGATTTTGTGAATAAAATTCTTTGGGTGGCTGTGTTTCTTGGGGACTTAGATAGTATTTGATATTTCTTCTTTTTCGCTTTCATATGTTATCGTTTAGAAGTAGAAACATTTTTGTAATGATAAACATCATATACCGCATGCTCAGCTTTTCTCAAACCTTTAAATTTGATTGGTTTGGGCTTATGTATTATTATAATTATCTTTGATAATTTAGTTCTAAAGGATGTTTATAACATAAGTAAATTGCTTCAAGCATTGCTCTTGATATTGCAAACTCAGAGGTTTTAAAAATTAGTCAAGATTAGAAATTTAGTATGGTGTGAGTTTAGATTAAGTGGTGGAAAATTAGTTTGCTGATGAATTTGGTTTCATTGGTGTGGTTGGAAAAACTTGGCCTTTAATTTAACGCTTGCGTATAAATATTTATTCATCAGACTCAAAATTTCTCAGAACTGTGTTACATGAGACTTTTCTATGTAATTCTCACATTTTCATTCCAATTTATTTTAAATTCTTGAAGATAATGACCTCATGTATGTAGAGATAGTATGATTGTACGGTAATTGGTTGATTTTAGAGCATAAATTAAAAATTATTCTCTCTTCATCGTAGCCAATCACCTTTGGTTGTTGTTCATACAGGAACAGAAGCTAATTATGGAGGGAACCTTGTTGACTTTATTGGTATTTTACTTTTTGATGTATATTTCTTTCGTTTTTTCCTTAACTATAGATTACAATGAGTTTGAATCTGATGGAAATCAGTCTGAAAAATCTCTTCCACAATACAAACCTATACAGACTGTTGTTGCAAATGTCTCTACGCAAACTGTTGGTCTGTTTTATTCAAGTTCAACTGAATTACGACGTCAAGACAGGCTTATTCAAAGTCGCTTGTCAGTAGATGCCCAGTTAAGAGATAAAGCACCTGTTTTTACTGCTGTCAGTCCAGGCAGAGGTAAACTTTCTACTCTGTTTAGTGTGTTGAAGTTTAGAATATACGCTATATTGTTTATACCATTAAATTCGAATCTGCGGTCCACTAGTATGTGAATGATATTGCTCCTTGTTAATAAAGTGGAAGGCGACTGAAGGATTTCGTAGTGCGTCTCATAAATAACTTTTACTTCACTTTAGATATACTTGAGATCCAGCTTTTTATCTAAATATTATTATTTTCTGATGATTGGCAATAAACGCTTTATTATACGCTTCAAAAGGGTCGTACATAGCTTAACTCTTCCATGAAATAGTATTAAAAATACTGTAGTACAGTTACAATCTCATGACATTCCCACTATTTATTATTGTCCTGGTGTTGACAAATGTGATTGCCTATTTTGTAAGAAGTGTAACGTGTTTTTCTACGATAGCAAGATACATTAGTTAGTAAGCAGTGAACATAAGTAAATATACAGTGGCAACAACATAAAAAGTATAATTCTATCTTCCCGCTACCACACAATTATTACTTATCTGAAAGCGAATATCAATAGTTCAACATGACTAATAAAAGAAACCTACAGATTGAACATTCATAATTAATAATCTTTAAATGTAATTAGAACTGGACATTTGAGGGAATATATTTGTTTGCATGTAGATCTTCCTGAGGCTCTACTTTTATTAACATATGTATATATACATACTTCGAAAATGTACTATGATTGCGCAACTCATATTGTTATAGTAGACTTATGGTACCGCTATGGGTCCTTCAATAAGCACTATTTTGACGGATATTTTAATTAAATAATGACATCCATTCTAACCTCACAGAACAGACCTAAGTAGTCGTAACTTAGGTGGGAGTTTTTGAGTGCTATAAGTGACATAAACTAATAAGCGAGTAGACCAATATTTAAACTAAGTATGTCATTTCTATTAGTTAATCAGGAAAGCAGAAAATCGTTGGAAAGAATGTCAATGAATAGAGGAAAAATATTCCTTAAAAGCAAACAAATACATAAACTCTAAAAATGTTTGGAATATAGATTATTTATACCAATTAAATGCACAGACAAAAGTGCAATCTGTTTTCATTCATATCACTTTGAATCTCTGATCACCAGTGCTTTAAGTACCTTGGAGCCTAAGCAGATAACTTACGCTTTCCTAAATAGGAGATTGGATTCCTTTAGTATTGTGGTTATACTTAAATTTGTTTCATTTGCATTCTGTCTCAGCTATCACACTACATTGTGTATGTGATCCAATATAAATTGCGTACCTAACTGATTGATCATCGTTGCCTCCTACGGTGACACGATGTAACTCATTCTGAGATTCATTGATGCGTCGACAAGCTGAAGATCGTCTTTTAATTGATGATTTCATCTTGAGGCATCTGGTTTGTAGATATGTTATAGATGTTAGTGCAGCGAGCTCTATACCTCTGATTGTTCGATAACCCTTTCACTGGTTGGAAAAAAGTTGAAAGGTGGTTAGCCCATGATGTGAGTACACTAGAGTCAAATAATAGTTATTCTGAATTAGCATCTGCTGGTGCACCGTGCCTTCCTGAGAGAGGTCCTGTAAATCATGTGAGTCAGCGGCTTCACGTGTTATAATATCTGAGCCAGAGTCGTAATCACTGACGATCATCCTGCAGTTTTGCTGTTTCTTAGAAGAGTTTCACAACCACATTCCTTATCTGCCATCGTATATGGTGATCATTACTCACTGTTTAATTTTTTCATCATTTTATTCATAAATATTAGTTATGTCGATGCCTGCAAAACAATTATTCACCTTTTAAAGTGTCTGCATAAAATTGGGACTTTTAAATAAGGATTACTGGCTATAAACCTAACTCACAAATGGTGGTTTTAATTTGTACCTAGTGAGAATATAAGTAAGACTGATGGTCCGTTGTATTAATGGATATCACTCTGTAATTCCTTTTTCTAAAAAAAATTGTCAAAAATCTTCAGCACCTTACTCCTCCTATAGATTTTATAATTTCATAGAGTGTTTTGTGTAGAATCTGAACATTTTCACTCACTTCAAATTAAATTAGTCAGGGACCAGGAGTTGTTACTTTTAAATAATTATTTATACACTATAATTTGTTATAACATATAAGGAATTACATCTCACTACTTTGAAATTCAATTCAACAGGATTTTGGCGTAAACAGTTAGATCATATTTTCGCACACTTGAAGCTATATACAAATAATAATTCAGAATTTCGTGCTGCAATTGGACAACCAAGATTTGGTAAAGTAAGTTCATTTTTAGTGCTCATAAAATATCATTATCTCTTTTGATGGATATTTTTTCGCTTTTGTTTTGCTACATATGATGTCTTTTCTCAGTTTACATAGTAATGAAGATGAATACTTCACACCCCTTCCTTTTTAGTGAAGTATATGAAATGGTCCAATGGCATACTTACTGATGGAGGGCAGATATTGATAATATGTTAAGCTGGTAGAACGAGATTTTTTAAAAGAATATTTGAAGTTTTCCACTCTAAAATAGTTTACCGTGAGAAATTTCATTTCGATTACTGCTTTTGCTGTTGACTGAATAGTACAAATTATTTCAGCCTTTGTGAAACTCCCTAGCAAGATAATAACCAATAAAAAGCGACAATTATGTATTATGAAGGTTTTTATACTTTGTTATATACCATGCCTTATTTGAAGCCAGGATTTACTTATTTGTAGTCTGCAGTGTAGATCAACATAACTCAGTTCATATATATGTATCGAATGAGGACATTATCATTTTAATAATGTGTTTTATTACTTTATCTACTGAAAAGAACACATTTTATCAACTCACCCACTTAAAGCATAATTTATCACCCATTCATGATGAATCTGTTTGCTGAAGTTTTTATTGATTATTGTTAATGGGGTTTTATATTAAAACCTCTATTGAACTTGAACTTTTGGTTATTTCTAAACTGTCATATCTTGTTATTATTGTTCCCTTGGGTTCCTAGTGGAACATAGGGCTTCAACTGCACGTCTCCACTTGCTTCTGTCTTCTGCTGTACTTTTCACTTGCGTCCATGTTATTCCATACTGTTTCATCTCCTCCTCACACGATCTCCTCCATGTCACCCTTGGACGTCCCACTCGCCGCTTCCCTTTCGGGTTCCACTCGAGGGCCTGACGCGCGATGTCACTCAACGGCCTCCTCAGCGAGTGTCCAATCCATCTCCACTTTCTCCTGCATATTTGTTGGGCGATTGGTTCCTGTTTCGTTTGTTCCCATAGCTTCTTGTTTGTGATTCTTTCCGGTCATCTAATCTTCAGTATGGAGCGAAGACAGTTGTTGATAAAGGTCTGCAACCTGTTGAAAATATTCTTGGTGACCCGCCAAGTTTCTGATCCGTAAAGCAGAATTGACTTGACGTTTGTATTGAAAATCCGAATTTTGTTGTTGATGGTGAGTGACGAAGATTTCCAAATTGGTTTCAGGTTGATGAATGTGTTTCTCGCCTTCCCGATTCTCGATTTGACATCCTCGTCCGTTCCTCCTGTGGTTGAGACAATGCTCCCTAGATAAGTGAAAGAAGTAACCTCTTTCAAATCCCTCCCGTTGATGGTGATTGGCACTGGATGTTGCTGCTGTTGTTGGTTGGTGATTTTCATAACCTCCGTCTTGTCTATGTTCACCTGCAGTCCTGTCTTTGCTGCTTCTTCGACCAGTTTGTCGGTTTTCGCTTGTAAGTCTTCGATTTTGTGTGACATCAAACATAAATCATCCGCAAAATCCAGGTCTTCTAGGTTCTTCACGTCGGTCCAGGATATCCCTGTCTTCTCGTTTCCCACTGTCTGACGCATAATCCAGTCCACCACAATTAGGAATATCATTGGTGATAATAAGCACCCTTGTCTGACTCCTGTGTTTACTCCAAACGCTTCGCTGAGTTTTCCGTTGTGGATCACTTGACATGTGCCGTTGTCGTACAGTTGTTGAATAAGGTTGATGAATATTTGGGGTACGCCGTAGTACTCGAGTAGTTTCCAAATTACTTCGCGGTCAACGCTGTCGAAGGCCTTCTCAAAGTCTATGAAGTTGAGGTAGAGATTTGATTGCCATTCCATGCTTTGTTCGATGATAATGCGTAGAGTTGCAATTTGGTCAGAACATGATTTGCCTTTCCTGAATCCAGCTTGTTCTGGTCGGAGTTCTGTATCCAGTGCGTCCTTGATTCTCTCCAGGATGATGCGACTCAGGATTTTACTTGGCGTCGACAGGAGCATGATTCCTCGCCAGTTCTTGCAGAGTCCCAGGTCGCCCTTCTTTGGTAGTTTCACGAGGTAACCTTTCCTCCAGTCAGTAGGCACCTTTCCCTCTTTCCAGATCTTTTGCAATAATGGAGTCAGCATATCTGCCGTCGTTTCTGGGTCCGCTTTCAGTGCTTCCGGGGGTATTCCATCTGGTCCAGCTGCTTTTCCAGCTTTCAGAAGCTTGATTGCATTCATGACTTCAGTTTTCGTTGGAGGATTGGTGTCAACTTGCAGTTGTGTACGTGCTGTTGTTGGTATTACTGGACGGGTTGTAGGTGGTGGTCGATTCAAGAGTCCTTTGAAGTGGTCCGCCCATTGTTTAATCTGTCTTTCTTCTTTGGTAATTGGGTTCCCTTGGCTGTCTTTTATAGGTTTCACTTGTGTTGATCTCTTCCCGGATAGAGACTTGGTTATCTGATATAATGTCCTCAGGTCCCTTTTGCCTGCTGCCTTCTCAGCTTCAGTAGCCAGGTTGTCGTAGAATTGTCTTTTGTCCTTCCTGGCACTCTTCTTCACTTCTTTGTCCAGTGCTGTGTAAGTTGAGTTCAGCGTCTCTTTCTCTTGTCCATCTTTGCATTGAATCATTTTTTCTTTCACCTTTCTCCTCTCCTCTATTAGTTTCCAAGTGTCTGTTGAGAGCCATTCCTTGTCTTGTTTCTTCTTTCTTCCTAAAACCGTTGAGCACGTTTCGTTGAAAATTACCTTCAGAGAGTTCCAATGGTCTTCCACGGATGATTCCTTAGTGATGTCACGTAGTGTTTCCTGCTTTGCTCTGACAGTTGCAGTGAAAATGTCCTGTGTGATTGTGTCCTTCAGTTTTTCCGTGTTGAACTTGCATTGTGGCCTATCCCCAGGTATCCTCGAGGCTTTCAGCTTCACCTTGAATGTCCCTTGTACTAGATAGTGGTCTGAACCCACATCTGCTCCTCTCCTCGATCTTGTGTCCAGTAGGCTCCGTCTCCACTTCCTTGAGATTGAAATGAAGTCTATCTGGTTTTTGGTGTGTCGATCTGGTGAAATCCATGTTGCCTTGTGTATATCCCTGTGTTTGAACACACTGCCACCAATCACCAAATCATTGAAGGCGCAGAAGTCTGAGAAGAGTTCGCCATTTTCGTTCATTTCACCGAGGGCCTCACGACCCATGGTGAGTTCTCTTCCTGTATTGTCTCCTCCCAGTTTCGCATTCATGTCGCCCATCAGGATTTTGATATCGCTCTTTGGGACGTTGTCCATTACTGTTTGTAGTTGACTGTAGAAATCCTCCTTCTTCTCATGTTCTGAGGTGTTTGTAGGCGCGTAGCACTGAATGATTGTGACCTTCTTTCCTTTTGAGTTGAACCTGGCTGTCATTATCCTGGAGGAGATTGGTTCCCACTGCATGAGAGCTTTAGCCGCTGTTGGTGACATCATGATGGCTACTCCCTCGGTGTGCTCGTGATTGTCCTCTGGGTGACCGGAGTAGATTATTGTCTCTCCAGTTGATAGTTGGCTCCTTCCACATCCGTTCCATCTGCTCTCGCAGATTCCCAACACTTCTATTTTATATCTCCTCATTTCTGCGGCTACCTGAGCAGCCTTCCCAGCTTCGTACATTGTACGAACATTCCACGTCCCCATCCTTATTTTCGCTTTCATCGAAAGAAGGCACATCGGCTGACTGGCTTCCCGAAGGCTTTCACCAGCCCGCGTCATTTCACTTCCCCGATTCCAGCGAAAAATAAGGTCACTATTTGTAATTTTAGAATTTTGAATATATTTGTGCGTTGAAGTTTTAGTAGCAATTTGGTTAAGTTTTGGGGGTGGAGTTGCTAGCACCACGCCCCAACCCTCCCTCTTTATCCGGGCTTGGGACCGGCTAGAATACTAGTGACCTAGTAATCTAGGCGAGGTTGTCATATCTTGTAGCCAGTTTAATTTTGTGTATGTGAAATACTGCGATGGTCTCCATAGGCATCTTCCTAATTATAAATGTTAAGCTCTGTCTTATCCAGCGAAATATTTAGAAGAGTGCTTTATCCTCTAGACACGCTAGTATTATCGTAAATAATTTTATAATGATTATTGATATACATTGCAATCATTATTATTATTATTGTATCCTTTAATTCCTACAGGAACATAGGGCTTCAGCCGTGCGTCTCCATTGCGTTCTGTTCTCTGCTAGGGTCTTCACCTGGCTCCAAGTCTGCCCATACGTTTTCATCTCCTCTTCACATGACCTCCTCCAAGTCACCCTTGCACTGACGACCAACTCGCCACTTCCCTTTCGGGTTCCACTCAAGGGCTTGTCTAGTGATGTCACTTGATGGTTTCCTAAGAGTATGGCCAATCCATCTCCATTTCTTCCTTCCTATTTGTTTCACAATCGGTTCCTGGTTGGTTCGCTCCCAAAGATCCCTGTTGCTTATCTTTTCTGGCCATCTGATCTTGAGTATTGAGCGAAGACAACTTTTAATGAAGGTTTGTAGTTTGTTTGAGATGCTCTTTATGACGCGCTGGCCAAGTCTCTGATCCCTATAGTAGCACTGACTTCACATTGGAGTTGAAAATCCGGATCTTATTTTTGATGCTGAGTGCTGTTGACCTCCACACAGACTTGAGAGTAGTGAAAGCTTGTCTTGCTTTTCCGATTCTTGCTTTGCTATCCTCGTCAGTTCCGCCTGTAGTTGAAACGATGCTTCCAAGGTAGGTAAAAGAGGTTGTTTCTTTCAGGTTCCTCCCATTTATGCTGATTTTTGTTGTTGCTGTTGGTGGTGTTGCCCAGGAGTTTTCATCGCCTCAGTTTTATCTATGTTCACCTGAAGTCCTTGCTATCTTTGATGGTTCTTCTATCGCCAACTTGTTGCTTTTCACTTGCATGTCTTCCAGTTTGTAGGAAATCAGACATATATCATCGGTGAAGTCCAGATCCTCCAAGTTTTTTGTGTGTATCCATTTTATGCCTGTTTCCTCATTCCCTACTGTTTGTCGCATTATCCAGTCTACTGCAATCAGGAAAATCATTGGCGATAGTAGGCAGCCTTGTCTTACTCCTGTCCTCACTTCGAAGGGTTCTGTAAGTTTCCCGTTGTGGATTACTTGGCATGCAGCATTGTCGTACAGCTGTTGCAATACGGCTCATAAATTACTGCTGTGTTGTAAAGTTGCTTTAATTTAAAGTAATTCAGATATATTTGATCAATATCAAATGAAAGGTTATGTATTGACATGCATTTCCTCGTGGACATTTGAAATACACGGCTACTATTACTGTTTTAAGCGAGAAGTACTTACTGGAAATTTTGAGAGTGGTCGAAAGAGGCTGCAGTGACATTTTTCAATATTGTCATTTGGTAGTTTTCAAAATTGTTAAAAAGTAGACGCATTCATATTAGCAGAGAGGAAATAAAAGATACAATTGTTGTGAGCATCGTAAAATGACTAAATACTGAGAAATCTGAACACTTGGATTGTACAAATAGATATCGTAGACGAGATAAATCCTTGTCACTGTGTTTGTTTCTCTTTTCTCTCAATAACAATATGCGATACTAAATACAAGTTGAAAATTGTGGGAAAAATGGAAGTGTGCTGGAGATTTCATTTATGCAATATATATATATATATATATATACTCAGTACCAACTACTTATTGAATATTCAATTTATGAGCTATTTAGGTAGTAATAAAATGCGTGGAAAACCTCTTCGGTGCGTTAATTGAAGGTTACGTAGACGGTGAAACGTGTCTGTTAAAACAAGATATTTGAAGTAGTTTATTTTATTTTGCATTTTTATCTGTTTCTGAATTGTGTGCTATAAAATTCTTCTATTTTCTATTCATTGGAATATTTAAACAGAATATGGCTGTCATCTTGCTCTACTTTTTCTGCACAGTAAACTAACTTGGCATTTTTCAAATTTGTTCATTAGAATATTTCTAAGTTAATTTTTCTAATGGAGGAAGCAAATCAGTTCCATTCTTTGTAAACGTTTTCTGTGGGTAATCAAAATACCATGTGAAATGCAGGTCACATGGAAATTGACTTCTTTGGAATTTTGTCAATGGATCATGTGAAATTTTTGTTTGATTAGATATATATTCATATAAAATTGATCTGAAATTGAATTCAAAATTGAAACAGCAAACCATTCTAAAAGTTTACCAGAATTTTATCATTTGTGAGCACCACCTTATTTTATTAGAGGAATAATGATGAAGTCATCATTATTTATAAATAATATCTCGACTTTTTTTCAGTGGAATGAAATATGATGTTCTGGTGTTTGTATTGTTGTTATGCTGTCTAAGCTTTTGATCTGCCCTCCAAACATTATCATCATGGCTGACTTCTGCTATTTGTACACTTGACAATTTGTAGATGATTCTTACTCTTATTGTGGGGACAGTACTCGAGTGATCAGTCATATGTCACTGTGTGTCTAACTATGACGGTTTTTTCTAGTTCCAAACCTATCTGTTAGAAGGAATCCGAGCTAAATATTATTCGATTAGTTCAGGTAGAGTATAGCTCCGTTATGTGAAGTTACAGCGTATTGGATTATGCCTTCAAATTTCAGTTAACCAGTAAAGGGTTTAAATCACCCGCCCTCTACTTCAGCCAAGGCATCTGGGTAGTATCATCAAGGATGTCCATTATCCCCATTCCTAATCAACTTCATCATAGACGTACTAATGGACTTAACCCTAACACACTTCAGCGACTCAGGGATTGACTTGCTACCAGGGAATAATCTCGTCGACTTAGAATATGCGGACGATATAGTTCTTCTAGGCAAGGACGCTGACAAAATGCAGTCTACTGAACACCTTGAGCAACAATTTTCGTATGTTTGGCATGCGATTCGCCCCTGTAAAATGTAAGATGATGCTGCAAGATTGGACTACACCGACTCCTAGATTAGAAATAGGAAGTGAAGTGATAGAGCGTGTTGACCGCTTCACTTATTTGGGAATTTGCATTAGCCAACGCCAATGGGTTGATCTCTGACGAAATCTCAGCACGAATACAGAAGGCGTGTTTCGCATATGCCAGTTTACGCCGTCTCTGGCGTAGACGTGATATCTGACTATCGACCAAAGGGCGTGTGTACTGTTCACCAGTCCTCTCCGTCCTCCTTTATGGCTGTGAGACCTGGCCATTGAGAGTGGAAAATATGGAAAGGCTAGTTGTCTTTGATCATAAGTGTCTGTGTTCCATCTCCCATGTTTGGTGGTATAATAGGGTGAGGAATATTGAAGTTGGGTATCGGTCGAGTGCTAGGTAAGGAGGGGAAATCAATAGACGATGTTGAGAAATTACGTCGATTGAGATGGTTAGGATATGTGTTACTTATGCCTAGCCATCGCCTTCCTCGACGGGCGATGTTAAGTGACATAGGATGGATGGATAAGGTTGGAAAAGATCTAGTGGTGTTCAAACGGAAACATGGTACCGGTCAATGAAGTCCACAACAGTTAGTTTAAGCCAGTCACGTAGGAAGGTGTAGACTTCCTGGTTGGGGTCATCGGGATGATAAATACCAATGGCTAGAGACAATTGGTGATAGATATGGCCCAAAATCGTTCTCAATGGCTGGTGCAGATGCATCCACTCCTTGTGACTCATAATATCCAATAAAACTATATGGTTCTTCGATATTACTATTCTTTTTGCCTCATATCTCTGTTTACTGTCTCTATTTTGCATTCCTTTTTACTTTCTTCTCTTGCTTTGTGTGCTACATGGAGTGTGGCAACTTTAACTGCTGCACATCGGTGCAAAGTTCTATGTTGAAAACCGATCGACCGTAGTATCATCAGCCTCCCCCCCGCACACACACAAAGTGTTTCTCATAGCCCGACACAGGAAAACTCTGCATCGGGTAATTAAGTTCTAACTAACTATGATTACACAACAGAATAATTCGTTTGTTTTGGCACGTGATAATACAGACTCATATAGTTACTGATGTCGTTTCCGGTACAATTTATTGCTCACAATTATGGGAAGATATTTGCTTAAACCTCAAATTTTATTCTCATTTCAGTTCACCTTTGAATTTATCAGTAGTAACATTTTCCGTATTTCTCTTGTTGATATTGCATCATGCTTATTACATATGTTCAGTGTAGAATCAAGCAGTACATCAGGAAACCTAAGTAATGGAATAAAACTAGTGAAAAGATAAATAATTCGCTAACAAGTTTATTAAAATTCAGAAGAAAGTGAGAAGAGGGGAATTAACTACATCCATAATTTATCACTGTGTAACTATATGCCATGTTAGATAAATTACTCTATTAAAACCTTAACATTACTGTTTATCTGTAACGTACTTCTCTTCGGTTAAAAATCATTGAAAGACACTTCGATTTTACTTCATTGGTTTGCAGATAATGAATTCATTTCATGACAGTTTGTCATCATCAATTAAACAAACCTCGTACAGAATGTATTATTGGACAACTGTTTCGTTCTAGTGCGCGACTACTGGTCAGTGTGCGTGCTGTATCGCTGAGAATGGAATCCAGGAATTACAAAATTGCAGTACCACTTTTACGTTTCAGATATTTGGTTGACAAATCTTAAGTCACTGTCATCATCTTCACCGTGAATCATGATAACTAGAGCGGTATACTGTGAATTATGACAAGAGTATATTTTACAACAAAACTTAACAACATAAAAGGGCTATTTAACTCTTATCTGCGTAGGGTTTTTAACTTGATTTCTCTGTTCAAGGTAGTCGTTAGTTAATAAGTAAGTAAGTAACTGACACCATAATTCACTGAAAAGTACTCTTTAGAAGAATTTGAATGGCTATTCTCCGAATTAAGTGGTTTCAATTCGTATACTGAGAGTATGAACTTCAATACACAACCCCGTTTTTTAAAATCAAGTGTGTGCGAAAAATGTCCATTACTAACTTTTAGGAACAGGTTTTGGTACCATCTAATAAGTTAACAGTAGCATTTAAAAATTATGATCTTTCTTTATTTCCTACCTATCTCATTATTCTTTGAACTTTTTAGCTTTTGTCAGCTGATTTATGTGAGGTATCAAATCAAGCAAAAATCACTTTGATATACACATTACCAAGTGATAAGAAGATTGTTACATCTGGAACCAGTAATCAAATAATTTCCAACAAGGTGTCCGTGGATTCAGATTACAATGATGGTAAATTGTTACACTCAATGAAGTATCCAAATAAATTGAATCAAAATTTAGATGGCTTCAAAAATCTTAATCCTCAGGAGAATACTTATGAACAACAGTTGACTGCTAGACAGTCTCCTGCACCATATGCTGTAAAAGATGAACAATATGAAATGATGCGCTCAAGTCCTGTTCAACGCGGTAATACTGGTATAAACCATATACCTCCTAAATCTTCACATGAATGTAAGCATTAATATTTAATGGATTTTATGTGCTATCTTATTCAGCTATGTACACAGTATGATGATAATTATTCTGAATAGGATTCAGTACTTTGATTTCCATGTCTTGTGCGAGAGTGAGAAAGATAGTACCTGTCAGCGTAAGAAGCAGGAGTAAACGTGGAAATTAAGGATAGGATTAGGTGTCCAACAGTAGCACTTTCTTCTTTCAAAACGTCGTAAGATTAATAGGTATTAAGGGAAAACTCATACCAACTAAACAAACTCACATGTCTATTAAATTTTGTAGTTTTATGTGAAATTAAATATAATGAAATTAGAACCTTGCCAAAGTAGTAAAACTACATGTTTCATGTGCGATAACCATCTTGCATGTGCATGCGTGGTGTCGGGTCCTACTGGGAGAATTGCATAGCTGGGTTGGATCTCAACTGAAAATCACTTGTGGGTGTCAGAATAAATTAGCCCTCACAGGTTTAGGAGACACATATGTCAATGTCTTCTTGTGGTCTCTGTCTACGACTTTATTGACGCTGTTAGTCAAATGATATAAAGGGTGACTTCCGAAACATTCATTTACTTTCATTGTGAGGGGAAAGTTTTAGTGCACAAGTAAAAAGCTAATTGGTCCCTTGGTATCGGCCACGAAAACTGGTAATGATGATCATTTGCTTCAACTTCGCTTGAATAATGACCTGTTTCTAGCTAGTAACAAACCTCGATATTAAAAGAAGGGTTGAAAGGGGGCTCCAGTGGAATAAATTAAACATCTCCTCAGCTGCTCAAACCAACTGTGTCTGGAAAAATATAGGATAGTAAAACTAGATTTCAAAAAGATGGTAACTATTCCGCTCACAGTGTAGGTGGCTACAGTAATGCACTCTTCGTAATAGCCCAGTCATACGCACATTGTTTGAATGTATATTTAGTACGTCTTTAAGTATTCTGTCATCGTTGTATTGCCCTTGTGCGATGAAAAAATGACGTGAGCAATGGGAAAGGAGTGAACTTTATCGTGGAGATTTTATGGGTAAATGTAGGTTGCTTAGTGATGTAGATGAGAACTGATCACAGTGATGGTGATACACTTGTATCTTATCTTCATTTTAATTTCAACGCTATGTTTTATGATCCACCTCACTTTACGATCTTTCCTCATAAAGCATTTTACGGTATTCGATTATTTTACATTCCTTTCCAACTACGTTCTACCTCGTTTTTTTTAACTATGGTTCATCAACTTGAAGTACAATGAAATAATGGTAATTCTTATAATAAAAGAAACTGGATTAGATGTTTGTATGCTTACTGGGCGATAAAGTGCATATCCTCGACTATATTAATAGCCTAATTGTTATCTAAATAGTTTAGTGGAAATCTATCTACCTAGAATATTGAACATTCAAAAAAAATGCGAACTTTCGCAAGGTAGCCCAGGTTGCTTACTGATGTGCCAACAGATCAAAATATAAATTTATTGTGTCTTGCCTCATATCAGTTAAAACTAAGTCGAAGTCCCGATTGTATTATGTTAATTTTCCTACTTTAACCTATCATTTTTGCTTCTTGCTTTCCTTCTGATGAAATAGAGAAGCTAATGTATTCCTCATTTCACCAAGGAAGAAAAACAAAAGATTGTACTGTGCAACTGTTTACAAGCACCGTATCATTTAACTTTTAAATTCTTATATCATTTATTAACTAAATAAATAAAATACTTCTCAGTCTCTGTTTTCTAAATAAATTATGAAATTTTTTCGTTAACTTCAGTTTTTTATTAACGAACAAACTTCAATCAGTTTCTGCATGAACTTAGTGTATGATTCATTTAACTACTCCGCATGCTTTTATCTAAGCTGGTTGAAGTCTATGTATTCTCTTAAAATAGAAATAAAATTGAATGCTCTCGAATTTGATGTCTTTGTTACTGTGTGGTTAGCAGGATGTGCCATCAGCTAACACTTGATTGATTTTTTGTTGTACTTAGTAATCGCGTGATATAGCAATTGATTTATTGCTAACCCTCCGTTTTCCAAATCAGGTGAACATGTATTTGATCTGAATTTGACTCAACGTACACTTTGAATTGTTTGTTTCATATCAGTTTTTTTAATTTCATTTGAATTCATCATAGACTATGAAAATAAAAGTAAGACTGGTTCATCCGAACCAGAGGAAGACGAATCGAAAGACGTTGCGAAATCAACTAAATCTCTCAATTCAACAAAAAAGAAACCGGACGACAAATATTCTGGATTACAGCCGAATCCTCACACACAGTATGGTGAAACTGGTGTCGCTCTACTAAAAAATTCTAAGCTATCAGTAGGTTGTATGTGTTCTTCTTTTGCAGTCGCACTATTCTTTCGTGCCTATTAACTGTTATTATCTACTCTGTCACTAAGTATTTTTCTGTACAGTACAGTATTATAGGTAATTTGATAACAAAAGACTAGTATAAACTGGAAGACTTCGTTTAACTGGCCTGTAGCTGCACATCAGTTGCTTATCTTTTAGTCTTGACATATGTCTGTCGTGTGACTGAAGCCGACGTTTTTAAAATATTTAACCTGAAATGAGATGTGACGGTTTGACTTCAAAATTGCTTCAGAATGGTGTTAAGGAATTATCGACTAGACTAACTACAAAACTAGCTAGAATGTGAGCATCCAAGTTGGTTTCAATAGAGTAGTGTGGACTGTTGATCACCTTATTTTAAAAATAGGTATAGAAATACTTTTGCGATAGTACCGCTGGGATTAGTATCTAGGGTCTTGGGACCCTTTGTTATTCGATAACCGATTAGAGCCGGCGTATAATAAGCCCAATGAAACCCAGATTTTAAACCCTGGGCAAGTGTGTCGTCAAAGCTCTGCCATCCCTTGAAAAGTGCTCGAACACAAGATATTTACCGGCATCCCATATTTTTAATTTTTTTTTATGTGGAACCTGTAATATGTAGCTGTGAATAGTGTTTTAATGATCAGTGTTTTCTACTCCAAAATATGCAGTCACTAAGGGCTTATGGAAAGTTGTCATTTGTAATAATAACAATCAGAGATGTACAATATAGTGATTCTTACTTAACGTTACCACAGACCTATTTATAGCTTTTTCGATTGTGAATTATTAGGAATCGAATTACCGCTGGGAACAGAGCTGATGGACTTAGTGTATGTAAATCACCTAGTCACATTGGATCATGTTCCAGACAACATTTAATTTCCTGCATACTGGAATTGAGAATTTGAATATGCTTCATCCCTGTGAAATATAAGATGGTACTATAAAAAGGAAGAGGAATGGTCGAAAGCATTGACTGCCTCCCTTATTATTGATATAAATGTAAAACTTGGGCACTGTGGTAGAGTATAACTCCATTATGGATGAGATTTTATTTTGATAAGTCACACAGTGTTACACAGTAATATTAACTGATGACGTTTCGAGCACAAATTATTGTTCATAATGATATCAAGCTACTCACACAACTTTTTCCTTCATTTATATACATGTGTGGAGTTGACCAGATATTTGAATAAAAATCAATATGTGATAATGTACATTCAGAAATAATAATATGAGTGTTATGGATATATTACAATCAGATAGAAAATAAGGCGAGTTTTTTTATAGTCATAATAAGTAACTTGTTAGAATGTTGTGCTGTGCTGGAATTGAAATAGAATTTTGAGATTATTCATTATCCTCTTCTGATTTGACTGGCGGTAATAATAGCTTCCATATTTCTGGTATTTGCCTCCCTTATTTACAAATTTGCATCAGCTATAGTAGACCGACTGCTGATTCCTTGTCAGTATTATCCTACTCTATAACCAATATTTGGCTGCTTAAACTAGGTATGATAGGACTAAAGGGTGTTTTGATCATCTTAAGCAAACACCTAGTTGTCTGGCATGCAGTTCACCTCTTGTATATATATATATATATATATATATATATATATTATTATTATTGTTCCCTTGGGTTCCTAGTGGAACATAGGGCTTCAACTGCACGTCTCCACTTGCTTCTGTCTTCTGCTGTTCTTTTCACTTGCGTCCATGTTATTCCATACTGTTTCATCTCCTCCTCACACGATCTCCTCCATGTCACCCTTGGACGTCCCACTCGCCGCTTCCCTTTCGGGTTCCACTCGAGGGCCTGACGCGCGATGTCACTCAACGGCCTCCTCAGCGAGTGTCCAATCCATCTCCACTTTCTCCTGCATATTTGTTGGGCGATTGGTTCCTGTTTCGTTTGTTCCCATAGCTTCTTGTTTGTGATTCTTTCCGGTCATCTAATCTTCAGTATGGAGCGAAGACAGTTGTTGATAAAGGTCTGCAACCTGTTGAAAATATTCTTGGTGACCCGCCAAGTTTCTGATCCGTAAAGCAGAATTGACTTGACGTTTGTATTGAAAATCCGAATTTTGTTGTTGATGGTGAGTGACGAAGATTTCCAAATTGGTTTCAGGTTGATGAATGTGTTTCTCGCCTTCCCGATTCTCGATTTGACATCCTCGTCCGTTCCTCCTGTGGTTGAGACAATGCTCCCCAGATAAGTGAAAGAAGTAACCTCTTTCAAATCCCTCCCGTTGATGGTGATTGGCACTGGATGTTGCTGCTGTTGTTGGTTGGTGATTTTCATAACCTCCGTCTTGTCTATGTTCACCTGCAGTCCTGTCTTTGCTGCTTCTTCGACCAGTTTGTCGGTTTTCGCTTGTAAGTCTTCGATTTTGTGTGACATCAAACATAAATCATCCGCAAAATCCAGGTCTTCTAGGTTCTTCACGTCGGTCCAGGATATCCCTGTCTTCTCGTTTCCCACTGTCTGACGCATAATCCAGTCCACCACAATTAGGAATATCATTGGTGATAATAAGCACCCTTGTCTGACTCCTGTGTTTACTCCAAACGCTTCGCTGAGTTTTCCGTTGTGGATCACTTGACATGTGCCGTTGTCGTACAGTTGTTGAATTAAGTTGATGAATATTTGCGGTACGCCGTAGTACTCGAGTAGTTTCCAAATTACTTCGCGGTCAACGCTGTCGAAGGCCTTCTCAAAGTCTATGAAGTTGAGGTAGAGATTTGATTGCCATTCCGTGCTTTGTTCGATGATAATGCGTAGAGTTGCAATTTGGTCAGAACATGATTTGCCTTTCCTGAATCCAGCTTGTTCTGGTCGGAGTTCTGTATCCAGCGCGTCCTTGATTCTCTCCAGGATGATGCGACTCAGGATTTTACTTGGCGTCGACAGGAGCATGATTCCTCGCCAGTTCTTGCAGAGTCCCAGGTCGCCCTTCTTTGGTAGATTCACCAGGTAACCTTTCCTCCAGTCAGTAGGCACCTTTCCCTCTTTCCAGATCTTTTGCAATAATGGAGTCAGCATATCTGCCGTCGTTTCTGGGTCCGCTTTCAGTGCTTCCGGGGGTATTCCATCTGGTCCAGCTGCTTTTCCAGCTTTCAGAAGCTTGATTGTATTCATGACTTCAGTTTTCGTTGGAGGATTGGTGTCAACTTGCAGTTGTGTACGTGCTGTTGTTGGTATTACTGGACGGGTTGTAGGTGGTGGTCGATTCAAGAGTCCTTTGAAGTGGTCCGCCCATTGTTTAATCTGTCTTTCTTCTTTGGTAATTGGGTTCCCTTGGCTGTCTTTTATAGGTTTCACTTGTGTTGATCTCTTCCCGGATAGAGACTTGGTTATCTGATAAAATGTCCTCAGGTCCCTTTTGCCTGCTGCCTTCTCAGCTTCAGTAGCCAGGTTGTCGTAGAATTGTCTTTTGTCCTTCCTGGCACTCTTCTTCACTTCTTTGTCCAGTGCTGTGTAAGTTGAGTTCAGCGTCTCTTTCTCTTGTCCATCTTTGCATTGAATCATTTTTTCTTTCACCTTTCTCCTCTCCTCTATTAGTTTCCAAGTGTCTGTTGAGAGCCATTCCTTGTCTTGTTTCTTCTTTCTTCCTAAAACCGTTGAGCACGTTTCGTTGAAAATTACCTTCAGAGAGTTCCAATGGTCTTCCACGGATGATTCCTTAGTGATGTCACGTAGTGTTTCCTGCTTTGCTCTGACAGTTGCAGTGAAAATGTCCTGTGTGATTGTGTCCTTCAGTTTTTCCGTGTTGAACTTGCATTGTGGCCTATCCCCAGGTATCCTCGAGGCTTTCAGCTTCACCTTGAATGTCCCTTGTACTAGATAGTGGTCTGAACCCACATCTGCTCCTCTCCTCGATCTTGTGTCCAGTAGGCTCCGTCTCCACTTCCTTGAGATTGAAATGAAGTCTATCTGGTTTTTGGTGTGTCGATCTGGTGAAATCCATGTTGCCTTGTGTATATCCCTGTGTTTGAACACACTGCCACCAATCACCAAATCATTGAAGGCGCAGAAGTCTGAGAAGATTTCGCCATTTTCGTTCATTTCACCGAGGGCCTCACGACCCATGGTGAGTTCTCTTCCTGTATTGTCTCCTCCCAGTTTCGCATTCATGTCGCCCATCAGGATTTTGATATCGCTCTTTGGGACGTTGTCCATTACTGTTTGTAGTTGACTGTAGAAATCCTCCTTCTTCTCATGTTCTGAGGTGTTTGTAGGCGCGTAGCACTGAATGATTGTGACCTTCTTTCCTTTTGAGTTGAACCTGGCTGTCATTATCCTGGAGGAGATTGGTTCCCACTGCATGAGAGCTTTAGCCGCTGTTGGTGACATCATGATGGCTACTCCCTCGGTGTGCTCGTGATTGTCCTCTGGGTGACCGGAGTAGATTATTGTCTCTCCAGTTGATAGTTGGCTCCTTCCACATCCGTTCCATCTGCTCTCGCAGATTCCCAACACTTCTATTTTATATCTCCTCATTTCTGCGGCTACCTGAGCAGCCTTCCCAGCTTCGTACATTGTACGAACATTCCACGTCCCCATCCTTATTTTCGCTTTCATCGAAAGAAGGCACATCGGCTGACTGGCTTCCCGAAGGCTTTCACCAGCCCGCGTCATTTCACTTCCCCGATTCCAGCGAAAAATAAGCTCACTATTTGTAATTTTAGAATTTTGAATATATTTGTGCGTTGAAGTTTTAGTAGCAATTTGGTTAAGTTTTGGGGGTGGAGTTGCTAGCACCACGCCCCAACCCTCCCTCTTTATCCGGGCTTGGGACCGGCTAGAATACTAGTGATCTAGTAATCTAGGCGAGGTTATATATATATTATATATATATATTGATGATACCTCAAGAATTATGTGCATCAACTTTAGTTTAAGGGAAGAGTGAAGCTTTTGAACATACTCGTCTTCGTTCTACTATTCACGTGAAAGGGAAGTAATACTTAGATTAGACTTAGTGCTAGACAAAGTAAAAACGTCAATCAGTGAAGTTATAAACTATTCATCATTTGAAGTGGTCGGGAGATCTGTTGCGTTTCCTAAACTACTTTTTTCTTCTAAAAAGGCGGATGTTAACTGATGTAGAGTTAAGTCTAAATTATTAAGAGTAGTTACATGAAACGTTAAACCCACCTAATATTAATCTGAACCTTGTAGACAGGTAGACGCTGCATGGCTAGGATCTTTATGATGGTAAGAATCAATGGTTAGGAATATTTGGTGTTATTACGGTATGGACTCTACAGCCTTTATAATTCTGAAAGTTATCTTTGTGCATTATAAGATCATTCTCTAACTTTTCCCCAACTCCAAGTATTGCATGCTGAGTCGATTCATACCTGTGCAGGTTTGATGTGCCTGTTCACTCACATCAATAGATTGCTTTATTCACTACTCCTAACTCTTTCCCAACCTAGCCATATGTCAGCTAATATTGGTTAACAAGAAAGGTGATGGCTTGGCATATTCAACACGGGCTCTAACGTCTTCATAGACTGATTGACTTTCCATCCTTAGATAACATTATACGCCTAACTTCGATATTACTCGCCGTATTATAGCTCTTAACACCGAAGGCAGAACACAGATAAATATGGTCAACGACAGCTAGTCGCTTTATATCTACCGCTTTTAGCTACCATTTTTCACATCCCTATAAAAGGACAGAGCAAACTCCTCCGCTTTACACACGTCGTTTGGTCGATAGCTCGATGACGTCAGTTGGCAAAAACAATACTAGATTTTGCATTCGTGTTGAGATCTTTTGCCGTCAATGAGTCCACTTAAGCTTATACAACTCCTTAAATTAGAGTAGTCAGCATGCTAAGCCGTTTCACTCTCCATCCTTAAACTAGGCGTCGGTACAAACCAGTCCTAAAGAATGATCTTACATCTAACAGATATGAATCAATTGCCAAACATACTATGATCCCTGTTCAGAAGGCTGTGTACACTTTATGTGAAAGCCAGTAAAGCTTCTCAGTTTCCCAGGGTTAAGTGAGGTTCGAACACTGAACCCATTAGTTGGAAAGTAGGTGTTTAAGTCACTTAGCCAAATACCTACTTGTGCACTTAACTTATATTTAAAATAAAAGCGAAGTACATTCGAGGGTTATATCAGTTGCTTACATGTTTTGTTGTAATTTAGAAAACAAAATACTGTTCCAATTGTTTAGAATGCACTAATTTCTAGCATTAAATCTTTAATGGAATCCATTTTGGTGATAGATTTTTTAGGAAAAAAGTTGTCGAAGACATGTAACTTTCACACAAAGAACTCATTTACTCTTTATCACAGATGCTCACATGTGTTTATAATATTGGATGAGTAACTTTAAGATTAAATATACTATAATAAATAAGACACTCATATAAGTTAGTAAGTTTACGAACTGACATTGAATGAGGTCGCTAGAATAAGTATCATTTTTGATCAGCAATGTTAGGGTGGAAAATAACTAAGGGATAAACCAAGTCATCATATTAATTTCTGCATTATATAATGGTTAGTGCCTGTGTTATGAAAGCTTTGCGGCAGGAATCCTCAGTGGTTTACAGAATTGATGTCACTGAGAAATATTTGTCTTTTTTTTCTTAAAAACACTTTTCTCTTCACTTTTATATTTTTCTCTTTGACAGACTTCAGATATTAATTTGTTATATACACTAAGTCAACCGAATGTAGATATACATGAAGTGAAACGCCTTCTTAAGGAAGTAAGTACTTCACTGGCAACATTTAAGTTTTGAAATTCATAACTTAAGAATGTGGAAATAATTGCATCGCTTCATTTCATTCATTTGTTTTGATTGAGGTGTCATGTAACTATTTATAACTTGGTTATATGATCACAATACTCACACGACACTACCTTTTAGCATTAATTTTCACTATATTCATGATATTACACATATAAATATGTAAAACAAGCGTATTATCTTAGTGTTTAGTGTCTTTTCCTCACACAAAAGCTATTCAGAAAATTGGACTTAGGATACGACGTTTTGTTACGACTTTTGCCTATTTACTTTTAAACAGCCTTTTCTATTGTCGATCACTGAAACGTATATGTACATACTTCAATAAAGTGTATGTCTTTAATACTGTCCTGTTAGTAGATGATTGGCATATGCTTCCCATTGTTTTCTAGAAAAACAAGTACATCAAAAAGCTATTAAACAAAGATGTGCAAATTATCCAACTTCGACTGTGAAGTAAAAAATAAAAAGATGCCTTAGAGCTTGTTGTAAAGCTTTAAGACGTTTACCCGGGTATTCTTCTCTGGCTTTGTGTGCTGAGTGAAGTGTGGCAACTCGAACTGCTGCACATCGGTGCAACGTTCTATGCTGAAACCAGGATATTCTTGCACTTTCTTTATCAGATGGTGAAAACTCCTCCTTACTATCGGTAGTCTAATGAAAGTAATTCATTTTTCCTATTTTTTAAGCGTATTCAAAGTAACTGCTCTTTGATTTTCGCACTGAACAAAGAATTTTAAAAGAAGTACTCTAGTCATCTTTCCTTTACTAAAGTTTAATGTACGCAAATTAATTATCCCCATATATAATGACATATGGGAAAATTATATCTGTAAAATCTCAGCGAAATTGAAATGAGTAGTTCCAACGTTTCATTCGGCAAACTGGTCTGAACTTCTTCAGGGAGATTAAGCGAAATTATAATAGCAAAGGTTTATATATAAAAAGGATATCTCTTGTTGTTAAATCATATGTTCAATCATATGAGTCATGAAACAGGCACCAAAATGAAATAAACAAAACTTTTGCATGAAATGTGATCAGAATTTGACCACAGACTTACAAATATTAGTCTGCTCTTGTTTGAGACTTTAAACAGAATGTACTTTTAATCAGAATTTTAGTGATTACGTTCAGCTAAAGCTCATGGTTGTGGATAACTCAATATGAAAAATATATATATGTATGTGCGGTATACAATGGTGTGTGTCCATGCGTGTATATGTAAACAATTGTAGATCATTTGTTAGCCTCTCCATAAGAAGATATAAGCAATCGCGAATTTAGATCAAGTATGACTGGTCAGTGATACATATTCATTTTTATTTATTAATCATGATTTGCTGTGCATCAACTAACACCCACGTCTGTTCAGACTTTTGTGATTCACCCATATTTGTAGGGCTTCTGCAGCCAGTCTTTCTTTATACAAACCTAAACCTTTCTGTAGAACCTTAGTTCTATCAAAGCCGGTCCCGTCTCTATCGAGTGCAGTGCAATCGCCGATCTGTTTTCCTTCAAGTCTACAGAGGTCTTTGGAACCACCTTTAGACATTGTGTATGCTTCCTCATTCTTATATTTACCTGTATGTTCCATTATGGGTAAATTTTTATTTTGATAGAGTCTCACAGTGTTATACAGTAATATTTACTGATATATATATATATATATATATATATATATATATATATATATCAGTAAATATTACTGTATAACACTGTGAGACTCTATCAAAATAAAAATTTACCCATAATGGAATTACACTCTACCACAGTGCCCAAGTTTTAGTCTTATATCAATGATACCTGTATGTTCATTCTACATATGCGGCGTCACAATTCCCACAATTGATCTGGTACACAATTCTGTTGGCTGCCTTCTTCTATTTTATCCTTAACCTTCACTAATCATGAGCGTAAGTTGTCCGTTGCAAGGAAGGATTCGCTTTATCCATAATATGTGTAGCAGACAATATAGAAAACAAGCTGTATCTGTTCTCTTCAAATGTGAAGAAAACGAAAGTGCAATCTAGTAATCAACAATATAGTCATGCACAGTGGTAACTATTTGAATTGCTTAGTAAAAAAACGATAACTCCAAAGTAAGCAACCTTTCAAATCACATAATAGTAACCGATTTCTTTCTGAATTAACTTTATGTTTTGCAGTAATAGAGAGGATTTGTAGCTCAGGTGGATAATTTGCAATTAATAGTGTTCTCTGAGCTGGTTGGTTTAGTTGCGGAGCTTTCGTCGTCCTTCTGGGCAACATCTTCGGCGCAATATTTAGCATAAACTGAAATGATTTCAATTTCTTCATGAGTGATATAATTGTGTCTCCTGGTAACCATCTTTACATATTGACATAGATTTTAAGCTTTCTGGTTACCTGATTTACTTTTTATTAGTTGGTATATTTCGTCTATATTAACGTGTTTGAACAGAGCAAGAACTACAGTTTTAGCAGAATAAAATGGTACCATCTTTTATTTCATTGCCTTCTCGTCAGCTGCTTCCAGGGCAAAGACATTATTAAATGTTCAAAAGAATAGACTATTCTTTTGAAAATTTTAATGGGCATTTTTAATCAATTATTAAATGTATCTACAAAAACAATTTTAACATACTTGCACAGAGTTCATTTTAAACAAAAATCAATCGATCAATATACGCATACACTAATATATATATATATATATATATATATATATATATATATATATATATGCTATATTAAACACAATTCCGAACAATAATAATCATACACAACGAAAACTTTTCAGCATCTCGCATTCGGATGAAAAATATTTAGTTACCAAGGCGAAAAAAAAACTGATAACCGCTTCTTTCTGAACGCACAAATCAGGTTTCAGGCGCTTGATGGAAATGGCTTCAGCAGACTTAAGGAGAATTGAGCTCTTTTGCTTATTGATAATTTTGAACGACTTTTCGACGTCCACCTCATGACCCATGTCGAGATGCCTGGCGATTTAACTGTTTAAAGCATTTGTTCCCTTTAGACATAAGCTTTTTGTACATGTTCAGAAAATCGTAGATATGCCCTTCTTTCTGTTCTTCCAATGTAACTGCTCCCGCAGATTATAATAATAATGTCTTTGCCCTGTAAGCAGCTGACGAAAAGGCAACGAAATAAAAGATGGTACCATTTTATTCTGCTAAAACTCTAGTTCTTGCTTCGTTCAAATTCATTAAGGGGAATAAATGTATGAAATCAACGTGTTTATCAATTGCATTTTCGTTTGAGTACCAGGCTTCTAGGAATTCCCTGGCACTTTTGGTGTTTCCTCTGTCTAAGATTTTGACATTATCCCAATCAAATTGATGACCGTAATTGTCTATATGCATTGATACTAAAGAATCATCAATCAAATTATCAAAATTAAATGAGGAAGTACAACAAGAAATACGTCAGTGTATCATACCTATATTCAAACAGAAAAGACATAATTCCCAACTTAGCACTGAAGAGCAAAATGCATTGAAGAAACTGAAGAATAGAAAAGATGTAGTTATTCTACCGGCTGATAAAGGAAGAACAACAGTAATCCTGGACACAGAAGACTACATTAAGAAAGCAGAAGATTTACTCAAAGATAATGTATATCAACAGTTGACAAAAAACCCTATACAAACAAAAGGTAACAAAATCAGAACAACGTTAAATAAACTAACGAAATCAGGACAAATTACAGAACAAGGTCAATGGCGAATGAAACCTAACGGACCTATTTTACCTCGATTCTATGGTAGACCGAAACTACACAAACCAAACATTCCCTTCCGACCAATCGTTTCGCTTCCAGGAACACCAATATATAATCTATCTAAAGAACTTTTCGGGGAATTAAATTACCTAACAGAATCATGCGACCATTCTATCAATTCGTCAATCCAATTTTTAGAGAAAATTAAAAACATTGAAGTAGAAGACAATGAAATAATGGTGGCCTTTGATGTCACAGCATTATATACTTTAATTAGTCCAAAACTAGCAACAGAAACTATGCAACAATTACCCTATAGTGATGAAAACATAAAACGCCGTGTTCAACTTGAATAGAACTCATAAAATTATGCCTTACAACATACTTCCAATTCAATATTCAAATATATGAACAAATAAAAGGAACACCGATGGGATTGCCCATATCAGGATTAATAGCTGAAGCCGTTATGCAAAGGTTAGAATTAATAGCTCTACCTATAATTAAACCGAAAATACGGGTACGTTACGCTGATGATACATTTGTAATAATTAAGAGAAGTGATTTAGAATATACTCATAAATTATTAAACAACATATTTGAAGACATCAAATTCACAAGAGAAGAAGAATTAGATAACAAAATCCCATTTTTAGATGTCTTAATCAGGAGAACCAACACAGGAGATTTAGAGACACAAGTTTATAGAAAATCAACGCACACAGATCACATACTCAACCACACTAACAATAATCCAGTTACTCACAAACCAAACTGTGTGCAGACATTGTTTAAAAGAGTTCAGACACATTGTAGCACTCCAGAGTTGAAAAGAATGGAAGAAAAATACCTACAAACGATCTTCAAAAAGAATGGTCATCCACAAAATTTCATCAAAAAGTGTTTAAAGACGAATCAAAACACCGAAAAGGAACCATCATCAAAGACCACAAGAAAAATCATCTGACCATACATGAAAAATATCTCTGAAAAAACAGCTAGAATACTGAAACCATTTGATATAGATATAGCACACAAGCCAGTCAAATTGCTTAATTCGATATTATGCAAACCGAAAGATCCAACAGAAAAAGGAGATAAAATTAATGCCATTTACAAAATAAACTTTATGAACCGTAATAAACATTACACCAGTCAACGTGGGCGTCCCCTTCGAATTAGAATCCAAGAACACAAATCAACCGTGAAAAGACACGATATATATTCTTTAGTATCGATGCATATAGACAATTATGGACATCAATTTGATTGGGATAATGTCAAAATCTTAGACAGAGGAAACACCAAAAGTGCCAGGGAATTCCTAGAAGCCTGGTACTCAAACGAAAATGCAATTAATAACACGTTAATGTAGACGAAATATACCAACTTATAAAAAGTAATAAAGGTTAATAAAGCACGATTTAATGAATTCATCAAATTTCGGTAGAACTCGTCAGCTGAATACTCTACATACACGGATATATATATACTTTTGAAATTACATTGGGAGATATAGGACTGCAAAGTAAACAAACTACATTGAATTGGTCATGCAGGAAGACAGGTGCGAATGTTTTTCCAGGTCATGTTCAAATAGATAAGGGGAAAGAGAGTATGAGAGATCAAAATTAAGATGAATTGCATTACGCTTCAACTACATCACTTAGATAAACAATTAAACATTAGAGAATATAACAAGAATTGCAAACAGAGTGATGTCAGTAATAGTTATTATGATAATAATTGTGTTGAAGTGAGTTAAGATAATCCTACTGATAAAGGATAGTTTTAAATGAATCAAGAATAATAATAATAAGAGGTCGAATTATAAGTAAAATGTATTACCATTCGAGTTTACAAACCAGGTCTCTGTGTACAAAAGGAGATGGTTGTGACTCTGAATCTACCATGGTATTACGTATTATTATTATTCTCATTATTGCATGGAGGATTTCATCATGATCTGACATCAGTTAGAGAACCATTATCATTATTCTTGATTCATTTAAAACTATCCTTTATCTTATCTATTTGAACATGACCTGGAAAAACATTCGCACCTGTCTTACTGCATGACCAATTCAATGTAGTTTGTTTACTTTGCAGTCCTATATCTCCCAATGTAATTTCAAAAGTATATATATATATCCGTGTATGTAGAGTATTCAGCTGACGAGTTCTACCGAAATTTGATGAATTCATTAAATCGTGCTTTATTAACCTTTATTGCTTGTTTTATAAAGAGTAAATCAGGTGACCAGAAAGTTTAAAATCTATGTCAATAGAAAATGGTCAGTACATATGTAAAGATGGTTACCAGGAGACGCAATTATATCACTCATGAAGAAATTGAAATTATTTCAGTTTATGCTAAATATTGCGCTGAAGATGTTGTCCAGAAGGTCGACGAAAGCTCCGCAACTAAACCAACCAGCTCAGAGAACACGATTAATTTTAACTCTGTTTAGTTATAATAATGATAATTATTAAGGTATTAAGTTTCCAGACCGCAGACATTACGAATTTCCTGGAATTGAGCGCCGAGTCAAAATGTATAGTGATAATTATTATTATTCACAGAGATTTTGATAAACACAAATTAATGCATATTTGAATTGTAGCCCATTTCATCTGTATAATTTAATTAGCGGAACTGTTTTGTTTAGCATTTAGTTCTGTGAAGTAATAAAAATCTAGCTGATCATCATTAGTTTTCTATTCAATAATAGGGTGCCAACCCGAATTGTGTAAATGGTGCTAAAGAAACCCCATTGATATGTGCTGTACGTCACGGTCATGTTCAAGCGATATCTGTATTACATGAAAACGGTGCACAAATCAATATTCCTGGAACATCGTAAGTTAGTCAATTCACTTTACATCCAATTCAACCTTTTCATCAATATACAGAGCCGCTAACTGTTTACAACTATAATATAATATTGCGGTACGATAGGGTGATGACCTTCCTTAATATCTTCCTATTTCCCCGCTGGGTCACATTGAAAGTCCTATTTTCCAAGCTTTTATAATAGATTTATATATGATTGTATTTTGATAAACAAGTGTATTCAAGATAATCTTATATGAGGCAAATTAAATTTTGACTTACATAGGCCGAACAATTAGGCGTGTTTCTCGTCGGATTTCCGAATATCACCCTTCGTGGTTAAGTAAAGGACAGACAAAATCCCTTCACAGTGCTATTCTATCTCATCTTGTGGACACAGAACACAAGATTCATGTTAAAGAGGCTTCCAAAGTCATTTGCCACTTACCAACTAATCTTAGCTTCACCTTAAAAGTTGGTCTACTACATACTGCTGAGGCCCTTGCGATCCACATTAAGAAAACTAACTTGTGTGTCCAAAAGAAGCTCGTTCAGACACTACCCTTACCTTGGCTATCAAGCTTCTAATGATCCTTAATTGGTTGTGGAAAGTTCTTTAATTTTATTTGCTATTATATTTGTATGCTTATTATAGTGTATACATCTTTAGTGAACTGTAATTCCATTGATCTTACTTAACAAATCGACATTATTTAAAAAAATCGATGTTATTATTGAGGACTATTCTAGAATATTCCAAGTATTTAAACCTATATATAATTGTAGAGCCAGAAGAGGAAATTATCGAAAAGGATATTCTTTGCTCAATTTTTTTTTCAAGTATTGTTTTTGTAGGGATTTTGTTTGATTGCGTGGAGGATTTTATCATTTTGTGTGTTATTGGCTATTATAGAAAACTCCATATTTCAGGTTAAAAAGTTGCATGATAACGGTGAATTCTCAATTATTTTATTTTAATTCAACTCTACCTAGTGAACTTTCGTGTCTTGACGAGATAATCTAAATTACTATTACTGCTGGAAATATTTCAGACCTTATCTATAATTACATTAACAGTTTCTGTCACTGTTTTACCTACAAATCATCTCAGGTTTTCCAGTGGTTCTCTAATCGATGTCAACTTGTAATCAGAGCTGTAACCAAAACAATCCCTTTAAACCAACACATGATAAATAATCCTATCGCCTAACATAATAAATTTAAAACTAAATTCCAAAGATCTTTTATTACCGAATCGCAATGCTGATTAAAGTAGTACATCAGGGGAGGTATTTTTCGAAGCAAAGCAGTTTTTAATTACTCAAAAATTAACATTCGTAGATTCGAAGACGTTTCCATCAGCAACAGGCCCTGACCACATTGGTCTGTCTGTCTGGATTAAACACAGAAATTGGCACCGAAGTGCAGCAGTTCGGGTTGCCACGTTCCAAATAGCACACAAAGGTAGACAAGAAGATGAGTGAAGAGAATCAATAGAGTTTTGACAAATATAAGAGTGAAACAGAATGAGTAATGAACTTGAACAAAGCAAGAACAACATTTGTACCAGGATAATATGAGCTCATCTTTTATTATTTCGAGGATTCTTCTCAACTGGTTACAACCTGAACGATGAAAAATATGAATTACATTACATTACAGATTTGAACATAATTTTCCACGATCACAAGAAGTAATTGGTAGGATCGTGGAAAATTATGTTCAAATCTGTAATGTAATGTAATTCATATTTTTCATCGTTCAGGTTGTAACCAGTTGAGAAGAATCCTCGAAATAATAAAAGATGAGCTCATATTATCCTGGTACAATTGTTGTTCTTGCTTTGTTCAAGTTTATTAATGGGAAGAACTGCATGAAGTTTTAGAATGAGTAATGGTAGAAAAGGATATGGAAGATTACAGAGATTGAATACATCTGCGCCATTGACAACGATTTTGAGCCATGTCACCTATTGTCTCCAGCCATTGATTCTTAGAGTCCTGAGGGCCCCAACCCGGAAGTCTGCATCTCCCTACCTGACTCAGTTTAACTGTCAAAGATTTCATGGATTGACGCCATGTTTTTGTTTGGCCATCAATTACTCTTTTCTAACCTGCACCTATATCAGCTAGTAATGCCCGTTGGGGGAGGCGATGGTTAGGCATGCGCAGCACGTGACCTAGCCATCTCAATCTATGTAACTTTATAGCCTCGTCGATTGATTTTCCCTCTTTGCCTAACACTCTACGCCTAACGTCAACATTGCTTACCTTATTATACCACCTAACGTGAGAAAGGGATTGTGGACATCTATGATCAAAAACAGTGAACCTTTTCATGTCCTCAACTCATATTGGCCATGTTTCAGAGCTATAGAGAAGGACGGAGCGAACTGCTGAGCAGTATACACGTCCCTTGGTTGATAACTGGATGTCACGCCTACACCAGAGATGGTGTAAGTTGGTGAAAGCAGCTCGAGCTTTCTGGATCCGTGATGAGATTCCGTCGCCAATCAGTCCGTTGGTACTGATACAACTTCCCAAATAGGTGAAGTGGTCAACATGTTCTATCACTTCACTCCCTATCACTAAGCTAGGAGTTGACGTAGTCCAGTCCTGTAGCAGCATCTTACATTTTACAAGGGCGAATCGCATGCCAAACATACGAAGATTGCTGCTCAAGGTGTTCAGAAGACTCTGCATTTTGTCAGCATCCTCCCCTAACAGGACTATGTCGTCTGCATATTCTAAGTCCACATTGGATATTTGATCGATATGTTTCGGTTAGGACGCTAAGACCAGACAATTGCACTGCTTGCCAACTGACGATCCACTAGTGTTTAACTTTCACCATTAAATCCAGACATGGAAAGTATTGAATGTTGTTCTACCTTAATAAACTGGGTGAAAAACGTCACAAAAACACAACTTTGCGAATAAAACTAGAATACTGAAATAGTAGCATTAGGATACTTATTCAGGTCGACTTTTTTTAATGTATAATGTCCAACTTCAATTAGTGTAATGCGGTACACGTCAAACTACCCAAATTTTTGATGAAGATCGACGATGTAAACAAAATCAAAGCAGGAGAGCTTTCTTCCGCAATTGAATTATGATTATGCGTAACATGTTGTCGATACATTTCACGAGTCATCAGAATGACTTACATATTCTAGAATACGTAATTCGTCATGCGATTCCGTTGAAGATTAATAGTAACATGTCGGTGAAACATTTGCCACAAATGGTTTGTGATCCAAATCTTGCAGTGGAAATGTCTACATCCATTTTTACTTGTTTTTTTAGGATCAAGTGAGCGTGAAGAATAAAGTAATTGTATAATTTTAACTGAATAATACTCGACTTTAATTTAGTGTACCTTTATTTCGCAAAAATTTATTTCACTACCTTTATATCTTCAGTTTGGGAAACACACCATTACATGAAGCTGTACTCCGTGGAATGGATGGATTAGAATTAGCTAAGGAGTTATTAAGGTAAGTTCATAACTGAATATTATTCCGTCTTTACTTTCATCAAGTAAACTAATCAGTCTGCGTTCATTTGTATTTGCCAATTCGTCTTACATATATATCTGTACTGGATGCATGTGTTCGCAGACTCTTCATCAAATGTCGTATTTTCAGTTCATCCAACTAAAATAATGAGAATACCCCAGGATAGTTATGTTATGCACAGAATTTTATCACAATCGTGCTAAAATATTGTTCAAAAAATTTTGCTCTGGGATAAGGAAGATTGAGGGATAACTATTCTATGCTGGAAAAAATGAATAGTGTCAAATACTGGACATTAAGAGCAACAGAGCCTACTAATGGACCTTGGCAAAGACATTTTATTCATAATACTATTTTGACTTCCAATCTAATATCATTCCTGTCGCTTCATATTGTAAACAAAATAGAATTAATAAGTTGAGTGAAACATGCATTTAGGCTAATAAAATAGTAAAATAGCTTCCACTTTTGGCCTTTTATACCACTAGAAATCAAACAAAACCAACAAATGGTAGTAGTCTCTTAATATTGGTCTTTGCAGTTAGTCTCTAGGTACCTGAACGGCAATTAGAATGCGTTTGTGATTTTAGTCACTCCTAATCTATCTCAAACGCATGGAAAACATACTTTACATAAATACATATGAATGTCTCAAAATCATACGAATAATTGTGACCCCACTACCACATTACCAACTCCGATGACGAATAAATTTATCTAAGCTTTTACTTTTCTCAGTCTCATTGATATCGCATAGAAATTGTAAACATTGATGCACTAGAAAACTTTAAAAGTACACTACATTGCCTGACTTTCTCAGTAGCTTAGAGAGTTTGTGCAAAGTCTGTCACTGAATCTCTTAACACTTGAGAAGTGGATTTTATAAGCTCATTTAATTCTTTTATCAGCTAATGAAGGTTTAACTAAAAGACACTTACTGGTTGTAAAGCGGAATACTTCTTTGAAATAAACTCACTTATATAAAGTGGCAGTTTAGTTTTTAGTTTTAAAAAAGCATAGAGATTTAACTGTGACCTCTAATTGTACTAATACTTCAACTTAATTTATTTTCGTTTCATTTATACAGATGTGGTGGAAATATGAAGATTGAAAATAATCGTAAAGAAACTCCACATGCAATAGTACTACGCTCAAATTATGAGCCTTTAATTAGACTATTTGCTTTACACTTAGGCCAGAAACAACTCAAAGAATTAACGGAGAATACTACCAGCAAAATTGATTTAAAATTAATGAATAGTAGTCTGGATATAACACCCTTTATATAGCATTATATCATCTCAACTGTATACCATGCTAATATTAACACTTCTGTTTAAATGTTTTTATTTATTTCTCGGTATTTTATCCTTATTATCAGTCCCACTTTAATGCTAACCCAGTTTACATATCTACGAAAATAAACAGTAGGTGAAAACTTATAAAACAGTAATGATGATTAATTTTTATTTATACACAAAACGCTCTTTTTTTTCTCCCTTTAGCAGTTTTTGTGTCGGGAGAAAAGCAAATGAACGAATAGGATTGTACTGCATGTTGTAATCTTATTGGTTAATAATATGTAAAGGGAAATTTACAGCAATTATGATATCTACAAAAGCCTGGGACACTTTGATTTCTGGTACTGCTACTTGATTACTGATTTCTATCAATTTAAAGCCGATACTTGAAAAATAGTTCAACATACTGAATTTTAATATACTTCGGTAAAATTAGATGATACTGAAGAACTCATATCCAATCGATTTTTGTTTCTGATTCATAATAATCATCTCAACTTTTATGTGCTGCTGAATACTCTTAACAATTAACACTAAATTAATTTGTAACGGTGGGAAGAAGTTAAAATAATTATGGTTGTGCTCATCTTACTCTAGGAAAGAAATATAAAAACCTTACTGAGAAAAACACGTTGCTATGTAATTGGCTGGACATTGGATGATTGCGTGATAAGACCTGATAACGTCTAAAATTACCCGATATATTCATTAGTATATTAAATCGTGAAATCCATTAACAAGGATATTTGTGAATTTGTAGCTATTTTATAGAAGTCTAACATGCTATCAATGAGTGGAGTTATAAAATGTCACCTGCATGATCTGACCAACTATTAGAATATATCAAGTATATGCTTCATTAATACTAACGACGAAAGCCAAAAAACCACCATCGATAGTCATTAATACTAAATATACGAATATAGAACTAAATATACGAATATATAGAACTGGTGTATACTAACTCTTACATGAAATGACTGAAGTGGTCGAATGCAATGACGCCGCTGAAATACTAAGATGAAAAATAAAACTGACCTGGAAATGTGAGTAACACACATTTCCAAAAAAACATGGACGAAATTATATGTGAAGCCACAAATTAGCGGTAAATAGTCTTTTAAAACCATGCTGAAAACTTCGAATTGGAGCAATGCAACTAGCCTGCAGCCACAATCGGGTTGTCCAGCACCCATCACTCACCTGAACGGGATGTAGTCACAAAAGCTACCTCAAGTCTAAAACTAGGTACAGTAGCGGGACCTGATGGTATGATTTTACATGTATTTAAGGATAGTGATGAATTATCGGCTAGGTTAGCTACAATATTAAAGCCTAATAATCCTACTGCTACTTATCTGACTTTCCTAGCAAGATAAAGCCTTTCGATGTGTTACTATAGGCGACTCCTACTTTGAAGACAGAGATTCAGGTGCGGAAAACAAATCTCTGACGACGGAATGAAATAATATTTATTCTGAGCATGTCACGAAAGATTTTCCTCCACACAAGGCACCTTTCATACAGCCAATTCCATTCATAATCTTTTGTAAATCAAGAACAAACATTGAGGGATGAAAATAATTCATTTCATTCAGTGTGCTTTCAATCGTCCAAACACGCATCGAACCTGAAATTCCTGTACAATTTGATAGTTAAGAAAATCGCTGTCAAGTGCAAGCAGTTCGATATTGTTTTGAACTGATTCAGCCCTCTGAGCTAAGTCAAACAGGGTACACTGCTAATGAACTCGGTCCCAAATGTGAAAAGACATTATTTGTGTTGGTTTTACCAAGGAAATTTATCACTACATTCGTATTTGGGAATGACATCTTACATAAATTTTGAATTTGGTGTTTATGCGCAAGAGTAACAGCACAGGAAATGAAATGCACTCAGTCCATCTCACAATCTTGTTGTCCTTCTCTCTGTTTTCCTTTTTATGTAATTCTGTTTTATGTATTAATTCATCTTCCTCCTTGCATTCCCTAACTTAATCAAAAACAAATTTCTGACTTTAGTTTTTTTTTATTATTTATGTATCATAACTGTCAGGATAGGAGAAATATTATGAGTCACTGTTTCCTATGTGATTTGGAAACCAGATACTAGACAACAACTTAGATTAAAAGCTATGTTATTGAACTTCTTGCTACCTACTACTTAGTCAAAACATAGTTTTTTTATATATTTAGCTAGTAATTTATTAGTCATGCGAAATAACTATGTAGCTATAATTTCTGTTGATACTGCCTTTTTCTGGATTAATAAGTCTCCGTCAGTTTTCTGTCTTTCTCAAAGTGATAGTAGTATCCGAGTGATCAATCGTTTAATGTTGTGCGTTGAAGTAACACCAAAAACGAACCCAAATCCAGTATTACTTCTGAACACATCACTACTATCCTTCCAAAATTCTAGTTACTAAACGTTTTATTAACTTAGGAACGCTTTTTATGCTGAGGTAACCTATTTTCAAGAATTAATTTGATAACTCCTTGTTAATCTTTTCACATATTTACTAAACATAACAAAAACAATCCCAGAATTTTATGACGCTATGCTCTATTAGCTTTTACATTTTTCAAATTCTTCTTCAGTGTTTTATCGCATAATGTACAGTCAAATATATAAGGTATTGAAGCCTAGAAAATTTAATGGAACTTATAAATTTATTAGGATTCATATACCACCCTTAGTTCCATTTTTAGACAGTAGAAATGTTTATAAGATAGCAAGACGTCTAGATGAAAAGATTCAACCATTCCCTAGAATTCATTTTTAATTTGTTTACTACGTAATTTGAGATGATTCATCCGCATTTGTTAGTGTGCGTCGGTGGCACAGTGGTTAGGACTCTCGCCGACCATGTACATGGTCCGGGGTTCGATCCCCTGTCGACGCACACCCGATATCTATGGTCGGCCTGCAAAATTTGGGCTACCAATATCCATGCTGAAAATTCCATACTTGTACTGAAAATACGGTGTGGCATCAAGCTGTAATCAAAATAATAAAAATATATGTGCATGCTATAACAACTTACTATTCAACTAGACAAGCTAAGGAAAACTGATGAACTTGAAGACAGTTATCATTTTAGAGCTGCATAAAAGGTAACCAGACAATCGTTTTGCTGAAGTTTAGCGATACTCGATAGTTTTCACTTGTAACCCTGTATACCATCAAATATTGTAACCAGTACGTTAGTACTTTAGCGGTTAGTATTTTCAAAATTCCTGCTGCAAAACTCTAACTCAATACACAGTACGCGAAGTGCAAAAGGTTCTCTTAACAGATGAGGAGGCCAGTTTCCATAGTGTCTAGGATATTTTTTGCCACTAAAAGACTCTAGGACACAGACTTTCGGAAAATATGTATTAAGGTAAAGTCAAGAAAAACATATGAAGGACATTGGTTAACACTGTGGTAACAAGTCTGCGAACAATTTTAAATAGAGATAAAATCATACTACATAAAAAAACAAAAGGAAATTGATTCAACAAGATCCTACCTAAAGCTGACTTAAGGAACAACAGAAGATGGGAATACTTTTGTGGAAAAGTACTTATACCAAGGAAACTATACACTAGCCTAACAAAAGTAATAGTTCACAAGAGCAAGACAAAGAAGAGTATTGTTGGTGCTCTTAGTCATATAAATGGCTACCACAGGAAGACACTAATATCCTCAATTACCTGAAATATATCTTAAATGAGATCGAAGTACGTGAGAAACACAACTCAGGAACTCATCGCAATCTGGTGGAAAGTGTTTGGTAAACTTATGTAAAACAACCCGGCACGTCAGACAAATTAATAGATTTTGAGATAAACAAATGCAGTATAAAATATGTGCCACTAGCCTGAAATATGTGAATTTTTGTAAAAGTAATGATAAATATGACTATACGGATAAAAACTGTTGCTATGTGAAATGTAAGTTCAGACCACTGTCTGAATACCTACGTGATTGATCCTGATATACAAATAGCTTATGTCTCCATTTACTAGTGTGGTATGTAAAAATATTTGTGTAGTTCCTCAAGATGCCTAAATCAGGTTGAATAACTACCAGATTATCTCAAACAATTTAAAATATTTACGTATCGATCCACTCGAAGAAATATCTTTTTTCGTTTTCACAAGGCACAACTCTACTATAATATTAAGGTGGTATTAAAAGGAAATTTATTTTTTAAACATCTGACAATGCCATGGGAGTAACTTAACATGAGATCTAGAAATTCTGATGACCCTAATGAGGGATTGGTTTCAGTTGAGACTTTGGTCTTCGAAAAGTTTTTGAGGAACTTCATCCTAAAAAGTATCAGTAGTATATAATTACAAAACCCACTTCCTGGATAATATCTTGTGCGTCTATAACAGAAAGTATTTCCTTTGCACCAGTTTCTTGAACTTCACCAGCTAACAAGTATTCATCCAAAACAAAGTACGCTTTTTCAAAATGGAAGATAATATCTAATTCACAGACCTTATAAAGGAAGATTATATAAAACGATGGCTACATTTCCAAAATATTTGTCTAAAATCTCCACATAGCGATGGATAATCTCCAAAGTGATCAGTTCATTATCCGTTTGATCAATGGCGCATACGAAATACAGACTTGCATATCTGTTAAAGGGATAAGATTTAAAAATTTTCAAACACAGACACACCTTCTATATACAATTTTTAGATCTTGCCATTCAAGAAAGGAACACATTTTTGGTTTCCGCGCAAACACAAGGGATATAATTTCACGCAAGTACTTCTTCTTTTCTTTCTCCGTATAAGAGCTATACCATTTCTGTAGCCGCACTTTGCCTTGACGACTAAATAATAGTAAAAAGTTTATCTATATAATAAATACAATAAATATCAGAAAATAAACCAACCATTTTTTGAATACACAGTGCACGCTATCAACCGCAGATAATTTAGGGCTAAATGTTGCTTAAAGTCACCAAAATATCTACAATTAAAAGG